GCAGATAACGTGGAAGAAGTTTGGAGCTTATTTATTTATTTTTTAAAATCTGTGTTCATTAAGCATGCAGTTCTTTGTCTCTGTGTAGCTTTGCATGATTCACAGTTCAAAATAATCCTTCTTTATGCATTTCTGGACTGTGATGTAGCTCCTCGCTTACAGTGTCTCCGAAATCACAGACTGCATTTAAAAGATGGGCATAGCTACTGTGACATCACCCATCTGGATTATGAACATGGAAGACCCTTGTTAACAAAGTGACCATACTTGGATGAGAGTAGGGAATGCTAATTTATCAGCTAATGTTAACAGGCTTGGTTTGGATGCAGCACCCAAAAACTTTGTGGGTGCACTGCAAAATCAGTGTTACATATAAATAAAATACACAATCCAAAATTTCACTCAGTGAAACAGCGCAAAACTATTCGACAGTTTGTAGCTCACATTATTACTTGTTATTTGTCGGATAATAGAAGTAAAAATTAAAAAACAACTACTCTTAATGCAGGCGTTCACAACGACTGCGTGATGGATTCATTTGTTTTTTCAAACTGAGCTTGAGTTTTCAGATTTTTCCGACCAATCAGACCACTGCATTCAGCAATAAACGTGCACCAATACTGAATATACAAATAGTGAAATAATCCAATTTTACCTCAGACACAGACACTGCTCTGGGTCAGTCGGCTCTCTAAAATGATTTCTCTCCCTCCTAAGATGTGTTCCCAACTCTGCCAACATGAGCTCAAACTGCCCCACTGACATCCTGAAATATGCACGACAGCGGCCGCGATACAGCTTCACCTCCTGAAATTCTCCATGCTGCTGCCTTTTCCTGGGAATCGAATGAACACAGACTCTCAGTTTCTTCTTTTTCTCGTTTAGAAACCTCAGGAGAAGCTGATCATCCCAAACAAATTAGAGACCAAAACTTTTTTTGTGCCAGGCTTTAAGTGCTATAGTGTAAATATGCCTATCAAGTTAGACATTTTAACATTGGGGTCTTTGTGGATTGACCTTTTTTTTTTAAGTGGCCAATCCAGGAATTGCAAGAACCATCTGAAATGAAACATTTACAGCACTTTGAAGCATACCCTTACAATAAAGATTACACTGACACCATCTTCTGGTATAAACTGGTTTATATCAGGGCGATTGGGGTGCCAGCCATACTTACAGCCAGTTTAGAATCACTAAATAACCTAACATTTTGGCTTCTTTTGCCTCTCCAACTGTGGGAGGAAGCAAACTACTGGATTCAAACCCAGAACTTTTTTTCTGTGACAGTGCTAAACATGTATCACTGGGCTGCCCAAAAAAAATTAACAAATAAAAGAATATTTTGCCTCTTTTGATTATTTCTTTCCAGGTCGACAAGCTAGGGAAGGCTGTGAACTATGTTGATGCTGCTCTCTCATTCATGGAATGTGGGAAGGCAATGGAGGAAGGGCCGCTCGAAGCAAAGTCTCCTTATACCATGTATTCGGAAACAGTGGAGCTCATTAGGTGAATGACATTTCAATGCTAAAGCGGTCACAAGTCATTTGGATTTGGATATGTGCATAAACACAAATTGTGGCTCTGGTGTTAAAAAGCCTGTTTCTTAAGGTACGCAATGAAGCTGAAGAGCCACTCTGGCCCCGGGGCGAGACAGGAAGACAAACAGCTGGCGGTTCTGTGGTACATATTTCTTCATCTCATCTGTTTAAGCCACATCTATCATCATACTGAAGGACATGCATTTTGAGGATGATTTTGCGCCATGTCCGACTCTTACCCACAGTTTCCGATGCCTGGCCCTCCTTTACTGGCAGATGTTTCGCTTGAAGAAGGATCACGCGCTGAAATACTCCAAAGTGCTGCTGGATTACTTTAAGGTACATCTAAAAACAAGTCATTTAATTGAAAACAAGTCAACTTTTATGTGTGGATGACACGTCAATAAGCCTTGTTTGCATGTTGTTACAGAGCTCTCCTAAAGTGCCTACTACCCCACCCGGTTGGAGTGACTCTGGGAAGTAGGTGGATGATAACTTTGAATGATCGGCCTTTTCTTCAGCCCATTTAGTCCACTGAAACCACCGCTGATTGCCCATCACTCTGTTGTGTATGTGTGTTTTCACTCTTAGGGGTACAGGAGGACCCCCCTCTTCACTCTCGCCTAATACCAAACACCTCGCACGGGTTTCCCACGAGGGCAGCAGCTCTGCCTCCCTCATAAGCATTCCCCACCGTATCCACCAGATGGCAGCAACTCACCTGAACATTACCAACAGTGTGCTGTACAGCTATGAGTACTGGGAGGTGGCAGACAACCTTGCAAAGGAGAATAAAGGTAGTGGTGATTTAAATGGGAAATAAAAAGGGGAGAGATTACCATGAAAATATGTCAAATGCGTTTTGGTTTTCAGATGTTTTAAGACCAATATCTTTTTTTTCTTCCTCATCAGAGTTCTTCAACTACTTGAATACTTTGTCTGGGCCATTGACTCTTCACAGTAGCATCGCTCACGCTGTCCAGTACACCAGGCAGGCCCTTCAGTGGATACGCATTAGTGCCAAACTCAACTAACTTAGAAAGGATTCACTATAACCTGCCCACTGGATCTCATTGACGGTAGAGGAGGTAAAACTCTGGAGAGCACTGAGATGGATGAACTCCCACAGAGCCTAATAACCCCCACAGTATGTTTTGGTGCATACGCTTCCTTACTGTGTGCACATTAAATGAGCCTCTTAACCATTTGCCAAATGTCCCTCGGACCTTGGAGGATTCACATGTATGTTCAAATTCACCCGGAAAGCCTTTTTCATACTTTGGAAGTAATCGTTAATCTAGCGGACTTTTTCTCAAGGGGCCAAAGCAGGAGAATATCCTTAAAAAAAAAAAAAGACCTACAACTAGAGAACTTGTTTGCATCTTTTGCTAATGAGGGTTGTAATGATGTACTTTTTTTCATTGTTTTTACTGTGCAATATTTGATGGATGGTTTGTTTTTAGAAAAAAAGAGGAAGACTTGCAAGAGAATAAAATGTTTGTCCCTTTTTATTTTTGAGTGTGGAGTTACATAAAGAAACTTTGTACTGAAGACGTCCCTCTGTCGGTTTACAAATTGGGTCTGGTTAAGGGTTACATGGAAATACATACAGGATGATAATCTTTTCCCTCAATGAGGAATATTTCTTCTAATAATCAGCATGTGAAACCCATCAGAAACCACTGGATGATGGCTGTATATAGTGCTTTTCTACTCTGAGCACTCAAAATGCATTTTACTAGAAGCCTCATTCTCCCAGTAACACACAAATTCTTACAAGTGCTTTTTTCTACACCTAAGCACGCCCTGTCTAACATTTGCACACTCCAGTGGATGCACTAAATTTAAATATCATCCCCAAGAATACTTCAACATGCAGACTGGAGTAGCTGGGAATTGAACTACTGACCTTCTGATTAATAGACTGCCTGCTCTACCCCAATGTTGAGATTACTTGAGAGAAAAAATGTAGGTGGCTAATCAGAGGCAACATGTGTTGCATGTGTTTCAGTGTACTTAATGAACCTTTAAATAAGTGCAGGTGTACGTTTATAGAAAGCTACTTTGCATATTTTTGACCTTACTTGTGAATAAGGACTGCTCAGATGAACACACTTTCTTATGAATGTTTCTCATTAGGAAACTTAGTTCCTTTGATGATTTGGAGGAGGATCTTTTCTGGGCTTTTTTTCCATGACACTCATGCACGCACACACAGTCATAGTTGATTTACACACAAGAGAAGAAGGTCCGCACAATGTGACTGTAAACAGATTTATGTTCCCCAAAACATGAGTCATGAACACAAACACTCACACTGAGTGAAAGTCAGCCTCATTAGTCACCAAGTTACACTCTCCATCACTCCACTCCACCACTTCCTGCTGCACCAACACAGATGTCGCACATGAAGCTTCAGCATCCGATGTCTGGTACCATAGCAACAGAGAACAACCAATAAGGGGTGCGGGGATGGGAGGGGTGAGTGCTTTTTGGGACAGGCTAGGGTCAGTAGCATCCTTGCTTTCAGTGAAATACGAAGTCTCCAAACACAATCAGTAGCAGACTACTTGTTTATCCCCCTGAAAAATATGACCCACTTTATTTACACTTCCTTTAACACGCAGGCTCCTTTGTTGCAGTCTATATTTTAAACAAACCGATCAAAGATGAGAAAGCTTTGATTAAGTGTCCAAATCAAACAAGGTACTGCAAAGGAGACAGGGCCCAGACTAGTTTTTTTATGCTCCTCAGCGTCCAACTCACTTATTTTGCTAGCGATGGAGGAAACTCCACCCCGTCTTTGCTTTTGCTAGCGCTGTTTTTAATACTATGCAAGACTACATTAAAAAATAGATAGCAGGTTCGCGCGGATGAGTGTTCACGTCCTCGTTCGTGCTGCACGTGCCTCTGCGTCACGGCCGTCAGTTGCCTATGAGATGAACGGCCATCTGAGGACAACCGTGCTGGGGGCCAGACAGTATACGCACACCACGGGGGAAAAAAACCCCGTGTATGTGTGTGTGTCCCTAGACTGCTCCGCCAACCGCTGTTGTGTCGCAGAAAAGCGGACACCTTGCACACAAACCCTCCTGAGTTCAAATGAGCAGCGTCACTCTGAAATAACCGACTGTCGCCGCGACAAAATAGCGGCTTCACAACGGCGACTCGTTTTTCGGCTCCCGAGTGAGTAAACTAGCACCGCCAGTGGGTTAAAAACTGCACAGAGCTTTCTGTACTGTTATAGACAATCCAGGTGACATGTACGTGACTGTCCGCGTAGTGGCAGCATAGCAGCTTCAAGCAAATACTGTATACAGTGCTGAAAACAAGAAGCCGGGGATGATGCGTCAAGCTACCTGAAAGGGTACACGACGACCGGAAGTTGGGCGTATTTTGTTTTTGAAAATAGCGGTTTATGCTAGGCAAATTTTTCACTTTAAATCAACAGATATATAGAAATGTGTTTGATTTTAAGGAAAGCGCACTAATTATAATTTGGTATTTTTTCTACACTACATATCATACATACAGAAATACATTTTTAAAAACTATAGAAAATCAAATGCTGTCCACATGTTTGAATATGCTGAACGGTTATCTTAGCTTATGAGTGTGCGTTTTCCACAAGTTTAAAATATGACATAAAACTACTGTGTTAACAGTCTGGATATTGTAAAATAAGCTCATGTCTGCAGTGCAGTATATATGTGAGTAATCATACACACCATAAGAAATTACACTGGAGGTATAGGTAAATTAAATTCCACATAATTTTGCTCCCTTACACAAAATGTTACCATAGTGGTCTATTTTTGTTCTACCTCTTTTGGCTGCTCAATATAGGGGTTGCCACAGTGGATCATCTGCCTCCATCTCACCCTGTCCCTATCCTCCTCTGTCACAACAACACTCTCCATGTTCTCCAAGAACTTTGTCTGTTGTCTTCCTCATCTCCTCCTGCCTGGCAGCTCCATGTCCAAGATCCTTTGTCCAGTATATCCACTGTGCCTCCCCTGCACATGTCCAGGCCATGCCATGCATTTGTCTCCAAATCGCTCAACCTGAGCTGTCCTTATGGTGTACTCCTTTCTAGTCGTGTCCATCCTGGTCAGTCCCAGTGAAACTCTAGCGTATTCAGCTCGTGTCTTTTTCGTGTCACCATCTCCAAACTATATACCATAGCATCTCATAAAACTTCCTTTTCACTCTTGTTGCTATCTTTATCTCAAAATTATTCTTGACACTTCTCTCTGTCCATTCCAAACCGCCTGCACTTCTTTCTTTACCTCCCTTGTACACTGTACATTGCTTTGGATGGTTGATCTCAGGTATTTAACCTCATCTACCTTCACTTCACCTGCTTCTTGCAGCTTCACTGTTAGTGTTTCCACAAAGCAGTTTCCTTCTCATTCACAGACATGCATTCTGTTTTGTTTGTACTGACTTTCCATCTGCAGAGCATACCTCCACTTGTCCAGGCTCACTACAGATGATGTCATCTGGAAACGGAGACTCCTGCTTGACCTGTCCATCGTTATCATTACAAACAAGAAAGGGCTCAGAGCTGATCTCTAATGTAATCCCACCCCCATCTTGACTCTATCACACCTCATGGCAGCTCTGCACACCCTTGTTCCAGAAAACCATAACAGCCTAGTCGACAACCTTTATTTTGAAAGTTTTGCTACCGGAACTACTTTTGCCTTGCTCATTGGTGCTTGCTGAGAGAGAGAAAAGAAAGCAAAGGGATTCAGGCGGTTGAAATGGAGAGCGAAGGGACTGGGAGGGTGAGTGAAAATGTTCAAGAGACATGGCGTGGCAGCATGACACAATAAAGGGGACCTCGGTTCACCAAAAGGAGTCCTCGGAATAACAGAATCGGGGAGGCGGAGGACTCGATCTGACTGTCAGAGGATTTTCATCTCGCTTTGCTTTGGTCTTACCTCGTTTAACCCAATCAGTGGGCACACAACGTTTCAGCTGAGCAGTATCTGCAGAGAGAAGTCTGTGGCTAACAACCAAGTCTGACAGGATACAAGGTAAAGCACTTCTCTTTGCGAGCAATCACTCAGGAAGGTTGGTTTGTTTACAGCCGTGGTTATCGCCACACTAAAGTTGCATAGTGTTATAGCGCTGTTTAACGCTGGGTTGCTAATTCTACCAGTATTGTTAGCAAGAGTCTGCAAAACACTCAAACTGTTCCTGATCCTTGATTTATAATACCATTTAGTGGCGTAGCGACATGCATTATTAACCAGCTAAAACCGCTTAGAGTTGCTAGGCTAATGCTAGCCGTCCACCTAGCTCGTACATGGAAGAAGTGACAAAGTGGCACATGGGGCTATGCTGTGACCTATAGCGACTCGTTGTGACCTACCTGTCAACCGCAGAGAATCTGCCCGGGCATGTCCTTTGGCACGGACGGCTTTCCCTTAAAGTGTGCGGCCAGTACCATGGCATCTAAGCTCATTTAACATTGATTCGTTTAACTGTTGTTAATATCAGTCATCAACACTGGTTGCATTGTTCCTGCCATTTGGTTTGCACATGGGGAAGTTTTGTAAACAAGAGACATCACTCAGGAAGGACTGACTTTACTGTCACCTGATGTTTAAAATAACTGCCACACCATCTGAGCAGCATTTATGACATTTAGGTTCATTTCAGATTGGATAAAAAGCTGTTATGCATCGCAAAGGTAATTTTCTTGTCCTCCTGGATTTAACCATAACCTGTGAAATTAAGTCAGCAGTTTTATTGTGTGCATTTATGATTGTGCATCTCTGAGTTGTTCTGTCTTTGTACTGAGGAATTGTCTCTCTTCTGCTTTCAGATACTCAGTATGAGTCGAGATGGTTGGATGAGGAAAAGAGCCAATGCCAGCGATGACAATGGTTGGGGCGAAAGGGTGAGTCTTATTTAACTCAGCTCGGTATGGAATGGAGCTGTGTGTAAGGATAGTCAGTTAAAAGGTATTACATGGTTTGTGCATTGTGTGCCTTCCAGCATTAATGGGGACACTAGGAACACCCCACCGCCCTCCCACACACTCATTATAACAGCTAAGAGCTGGATTTAGATCACTAGTTGTCTAATTGGTTAAGACTGGCATTCACATTTATGCTTTATAAGAAGAGTGACCTCTCCATATAGCAGTCCAATATACAGGCAAGGCAATAATGAAAACTCAAGTAGACAGCAATATATCATAATATCAGTATCTGTGCAGAATAACTGAGTGAGAAAACCTCCAGTGTATGTGTATATATATATATGTGTGTGTGTGTGTATGTTTAGATATTGTGTGCAATATTATGACTGTATATAGATATCACATAAAATATTTTAAAATCTTCATATTTTTGCTGGTCATGTGCAAACCATAAAAATCTGGTTTGTTAATTGTTTCCTGTTTGTCTTTTTGTTTCTATAACTGCTCTAATTACTGCATCCAGGGCGGCTACATGGCCGCCAAAGTTTCTAAGCTGGACGAGCAGTTTAGACTTGACGCCCCCAGAGAAAAGCAAAAAGAAGGAGCGTGCTCCAGCATCTTCACCGGAGTGGCTATTTATGTCAACGGATACACAGGTAATGCTTTGTAAATATTTATGCAGATTATAAATTTGGTTTGCCTCATTTCTTCAGCTGCTCCAGCATGAAGACCATAAATTCTCTCAGATTTCTCTCTCAGAGGATTAACTGATGAAAACAGTCTTCTGAATGCTGTTTTCTTTCAGAAATTAAAAAAGTACGTACAGACTTCTTTGGCATTTTTCTCACACTGATTTATTAGTTTTTTTTGGTTTGATTTATAGTTTCATAAATCAGTTTTTGACTGTCTTGATTTTATAACTCAAGGTACTGTTTTTCCACTGTGATCAAATCACAGGTTAGTGTATGCTTGATCTAGTATTGTATTTTGCTTTCATAAAAGCTTCGTAGCTCAAAATCATCATATGAAAAATGATCAAGGGAAAAAAATAACTTGGAAAAACTGAAATAAACATCAGGCTCATCACCTGATGACATCTGCAGCACACTGGAGACTCATCTCACAGGCAAAAGATGCCAAAGTGCAGTAGCTTGGGAGTTTTTATCCACACAGTGACTATGGCTGTGTTAAAATTGCTGGTTTTTGAGGCACTGGGAAATATGACAGTGATGTATCCTGATGAGCTGAAAGCTGTCATGATGCACATCAAGATGCTGTCTAAGGTGTTTTTTGCCTTTTAGTAAGTTGACATTGTCATTTTTGCCACACTTTCATATTTTTGGGAGCAGATCCCAGTGCAGATGAACTACGCAGACTGATGATGCTGCATGGGGGTCAGTTTCATGTCTACTATTCACGCTCCAAAACCACCCACATCATCGCCACTAACTTGCCTAACAGCAAAATTCAGGAGCTCAAAGGGGAGAAGGTCATCAGGCCAGAGTGGATCACTGACAGGTCTGTTCATTGCAAGTTGATAATGTTTATATTTCATATTTTGTTGTACAGTATTAGCTGAAAACCTTGTTTATCTTGTCATTTGTTTAAAACAGTATCAAAGCTGGGCACCTCCTGCCATATCTACAGTACCAGCTGTATGGCAAACACAAAGGCCCGCTCTTCCCTGGCATGACTCTTCGTCAGACCTCAGAGATTCCTGGACCGAGCCATGGGGTGCTTCAATCAAGTACCCATCTAAAACTAAATCTGCCGCAATGCAAAATTAAACCCCCTGTTCTCAATCATAAGAAGTCTTTATGCAGCGCTCAGAGCACCCCCGTCCACATCCCCAGCCAATCCCGACCTCAACCTGAGTCCATTCAGCACAGCTCTCCAGCTCGCTTTGTTAACCCCGAACCAAGTCACTCTGCATCCGGCCACCTCATTACAGATCCCAGCCACAGAAGCCCTTTGCACACACACCTGCTGCTTAACCCAAACTCCACAAAGCACCCACACAAGTCTCCGCAGTCTGCTTCCCCACAGGAAGCAGAATTAAAAACGTGAGTATGTAAAGTAAGTAGTTACACTTAAAGTGGACCTCTTATGCATTTTTCCTTATTCATTATTTAGCATCGAAACGCTATATTTCAGACATTTGTTCTACTTTCAGACCACTCTGATGTCATAGAGGTGGCCTATCATTTATAATATGTTTGACACAAGGCTCCTGTTGTGCACACATTCGATGTTCAGATAGTCTTTTTCAGAATGAAGTTGGCTTAAAGGGAGATGTGTTGGCACAACTAATTTCAAATCGTGTAAGATAAATGAGGTTTCATTTGAATTGAGAATCAAGCAACTCTGGTAGACTCAAGTAACACAAATAAGGATCTGAAAATGTGAAAAATAGGTCCACTTTAGGTAATAGCTCAGTAAGTTCTGTAGATTTTTTTTTTTAATTAACTTTACATTTTAAGGTTTTGAACAGAAATCTTTAAAGAGCTTGAAGTTTTTTTTAAATGTCATTGATTAAAAACTCTTCATGTCCTTTTTATCACAGAAATAGAAACTTGCAGACCTCAGTGGATGTGAGCCATTCGAAAATGAATGAAATCCAAGAGTGTAGCAAAGAAAAACCTCATCTCGCTGGGGCCTCAGATGTGAAGGATGCCCCCTTGACCAATGGACACACTCACATTGTTAATGGTGCCTTAAATTCAGAGGACCTGTCCCCTGTTACAAATCAACCATTTTTGATCAACAGCCTGTCCAAATGCAGGGTTAGGAGTTCACCAGATAAACCTCAAAGTCCTTCTGTACAGTTCCAGGCCAAGCCTGACCCCTACGAGTTTCCCCAAAGCCCTCCAAAGCAATCTGACCAGTCCCTTGTCCTCGTGCAGCAATCCAGCTCACAAAGAGCCAATGAGAAAAGACTTAAGCCTCCACCACCAACCTATCAAGAGGCTATAAAAGCCACTGAAAGCCACCTCTTCCCAAAGCAGCTTCAAGCACCCCTTCAGGTCGATATGATTTCTGAAAAGACTCTTTCTCCTGCATCTCGCTCTCTTTCACATTCTCCAGTTCGACTAAACGGAAGTCACCACAACGCCTTTACATCTGACTCTGCCTCCCTCAGCACAAATAATGTAACATTCAAATCTGAACCTCCCATGGACGAGTCATCGTCATCATCATCCAAGTCTTCAGCACAGCTGCTAGAACATACGGGCAGTTTGATCTCCGAGTTCTACTCTCACTCACGTTTGCACCAGATCTCCACGTGGAGGAGTGGCTTTTCTGAGTACGTCAATGAACTGCACAGCAAACGAAAAGGAGCAGGGGGCGCCAGCCTTCCTGGGAAAGAGCGTTTGAGGAAATCTGCGGCCCAGCGATCTATAGACACTAAAGGTAGGAAAGGTAGGGTTGCTGTGTTTTTCTGTACATTTCTGAGGGCTTCTTTTCTTTATGTTGCCTAAAGACTTTGGACCAGGGATAAAAGATGTGCCCTTGCCTGCTCCAGCTGGGGACCTTGGTTGTATGTCAGTCAAGGTCTAGATCCCCTATAAAGGGGGAAAAAAAGCTTAGCAGTATATCATGATTTATAATTCTACAATTACCATTTTTTTTGCAGTTGTATGACTTATATGCTTGTATGCTAGAAAACCTGGTATATATTGAGTATAGCAGTGAATACCTTTAATTGGTAGGCCGTCGACATCATTGAGGCACTGCATACATGCACCACAATTGTGCATTAATATTTTATTTAAATCTGAAAAACTGCCCATTGACAATATTTGTATGTATTTGTTATGTGTCAGGTTCATCAGCCCAAGTCAGTGTTAAATCTTGTATCCTCCATGTGGACATGGACTGTTTCTTTGTGTCTGTGGGGATTCGAAATCGACCAGATCTTAAAGGCAAGCCACGTTTTTGTCTGTTTAAATGTGCTATCAGTAAATTTAAAAAAAAATATGGATGTGACACACTCGCTGCTCATGTTTAAAATTGGTTCTTCCAGGTAAGCCTGTAGCTGTGACCAGTAATCGTGGACAGGGCAGAGGGCCTGTGAGACCAGGAGCTAACCCTCAGCTGGAGATGGAATACTACCAGAAAAAATACACACATCCACAAGCTGGTGAGATTGTCATAACAGTGGCTTTCACAGGCTTTTACATGTCCAGCCCTTCTGTAACTAAGCGTCCCCTCTCTGTTCACCTTTCAGAGAGCGCAGAGGATGAGATACACACAACTCCTTCACAAGAAAGCCCTGACTCTCGTACCAATGGAGTAGAGCAGGATGCTGTTGCTCTCTCAATGGCAGAGATTGCATCCTGCAGTTATGAGGCCAGGTAACCTATAAAAACAGATCAGGTCTGCCTTAGTTTCGTAACAATAAGAATATGAACATATATTCTTTCTTCCACAGGCAAGCGGGCGTAAGAAACGGCATGTTTTTTGGGAAAGCAAAACAGCTGTGCCCCGCACTGCAGTCTGTCCCATATGATTTTGAGGCCTATAAAGAGGTGGCCCTCAATATGTATGAGACTCTGGCCAGGTAGAAAAACAGCGCTATCTTTTACTCACACTAATTATGTTCTCCCTTAATTCTTAATATGCATAACTTATTCATGATTTTACTCTTTTCAGTTATACCCATGACATCGAGGCCCTCAGCTGCGATGAAGTGTTGATAGATGGCTCTGCGCTGCTAGCTGAAGTGGGCGCCAGCCCTGAAGATCTAGCCAAAGCGGTCAGAGCAGACATCAAGGAGAAAACGGGATGCTGTGCTTCAGTGGGCATGGGTAATTTGTTTGCCCAGTTCGTACTGTAAAATAGATCAAGGCGGCCGCTGCATTTTACAAAGTCTGACTAATCTGGTGTCTTCAGGGTCCAACATCCTTTTGGCTCGGCTGGCGACTCGTAAGGCCAAACCTGACGGCCAGTATTTCCTAAAGTCTGAAGAAGTGGACGATTTTATCAGGGACCTCCCGGTGACAAGCTTGCCTGGTAGGTGTGCAGCACCACCTTCTGGACAATCCACTGATATCAATTCTGTGTGGTAAAATATTCAGTCAAATGATGGTGATGCTACTTTTTCAAGGTGTTGGGCCTGTTATGGGGAGAAAGCTGGCCCTCATGGGTGTGCGGTCCTGTGGTGACCTCCAACAAGTTTCTCTGTCTAAGCTGCAAAAGAAGTTTGGACCCCGTACTGGACAGACTCTGTTCCGCTTCTGTAGGGGTCTAGACGACCGGCCAGTCCGCTATGAAAAGGAAAGGAAATCTGTCTCTGCTGAGATGAACTACAACATCCGCTTTACTCGGGTTAGACCTGCTATTTGTCCTCCCTTCTGTGTCATGTGTTCTACTTCAACATGCCAGCTTTTTTTTTTTTTTTTCTAATCCTCTTATGTATCGTTCACCAGGTTGATGAGACGGAGTGTTTCCTCACTAATTTGTCCATGGAAGTGCAAAAACGTTTACAAGAAGCAGGTCTGCGGGGTCGAAGAGTCACTCTGAAAGTCATGGTTCGCAAAATTGGAGCGCCACTTGAACCTGCTAAATACGGTGGCCATGGCATATGTGATCATTTAGCCAAGTAAGAAAGAGATCGTTATTCTGTCCTTGTGTGTTACAACTAAATCTTCATATTTTCTCCTCTGTTTATCCTTACCACTGTTTCTTTGTAAGCTTATCTTTATCTGTATCCCTTTTCATCAGGACCGTGATGCTCGCTCAGTCCACTGACAGTGGTCAGCTAATCGCTGCTGCAGTCATCAAGCTGTTCCACGCCATGAAGGTAGAGGTGCAAGACTTAAGAGGAGTTGGCATTCAGGTTCAGCTTCTTGAGGGACATCAGTCTGCAACACAGGACTGCCGAGGCCTGCGAGGACGCTCCATCAAAGAGATGCTGTTAGGCCAGGCATCGAGTGCCAGATCTAATAACCGAGGCGCGTTTGGTGTTTTTTGGTTCCGCTTGTCTTCATTGCTGTCTGTAAAAATCACTTACGTCTTGTAATATTATTACAGATGCTGCAGACGCGCTTCAGGAGAAGACTACTTCCTCTACAACAGTCCCAACAGCAAACTCCGCGCCATATCCTTTGTCACCTGCTGAGCCAGTACCCGGAACAAGCAAGGAACAACCAGCGTGCAGACAAACTCCAAAGCATTCTCGGACACGTCTCAACTTCAGTATCGAAGTCCCCTCCCCTTCACAGGTCAGGACTGGAGTGAAATGTCTGACTGGTAAAACAAAACCTAAACGGTAACATGCCTCTAACTGTCTCCTAATTTTGTCCAAGGTGGATCGTTCTGTGTTGGAGGCCCTGCCTGCAGAGCTGAGAGAACAAGTGGAGCAGTCGTGGACCAGGAGAGATGGGAGGCCAAATAACTGCCATTCCCCTGTTCTGCAGCTTTCCCCTCTCATTTCTCATCCAGCCTCTCCCCCTCGTCCTCCCCTTGCAACCGTACCTGCACTGAATTATCCACCTGTAGGAACGTTGGTCCTGCAGATTCCAAACCAGCCAGAAAGTCCAGGAATTGTACTGGAACTGCCTAACTTCTCACAGGTGTGTGTGCTATTAGATTTTTTTTTTTTTTTTTTTTTTTGTGATGGTTTGCCGGTGATTTAATTTTGCAGTCTAAAGTAGAGAGAAAATCAGGAAAAATTGGAAACTGTAGTTTCTGTTGTACTCCATTCCACAGAAACATGTAGTGCCTTGCTGGCTTGTCGCAATTTTGCTTATTGGAGCCTTTAAACAGCACAAAGCGCTTTTCTCTACTGGAAATGTGCCATGAACACATGAGTTGTGACTGAAGCAGATGGTCCCACAAGTTAAAGAAAACAAAAGCTGGTTCCATTGTTGGTAGTAAGTGAGCTTCCCATCTGTCTGACTGCAGGTCGATCCAGATGTGTTTGCTGCCCTTCCCAAAGAACTACAGGAGGAGCTGAAGGCTGCCTACAGCCGCGCAACCGGTGTACACCCTCAGGTGAAAATGTGTAAGTCAGCAGATGAATTTCCTGAAGGAGTGCTTTTCCTTTTGATTGGTTGTTTTTACTTTTTATTTTTTTAACCCTGATTTTATTATTTGATTTTATTTTGTTTCTTGTTTGTTTTTTGTTTTTTTGCCCTTCTGGTTTCTCTGCAGTGGAGCAGAAGAATCCACTGCTGCAGCTAAAACAGTCTGGGGCCGGAATCGGCAGTGGTCGTGTAAAGCGTCGCTACAAGAGAAAAAACGCAGTCAGTCCTCTTAAAAAAGGAGCTTCTCCACTCAAGAAGCGTCCAACAACAAACAGCCCAGCCAAAAGCCTGCCACCTACTGGAAAATCACAGGAACCAATAAACAATCGAAAGGCAAGTTTGTCCTCTGCTCTATGCATATGATGCTGCAAACACGTGAAAACATGTGATTTAGTTGACTTATCTTTAAAAATTGCAACTTCTTTTCATTCCCAGACTGAAAATGGTCCCTCAACATCAGTTTCGAAACCAGAGATCCCACCAGCTGTGGTTAAATTGGCTGCTCGTCCTCCTCCAGCACTGGCAGGAGCCTGTGACTTGACAGACATTAAAACACTACTACGGGAATGGGTTACCACCATAACAGGTACACAGATGTGTTATGATGGCGTTTCCTGTGGTGCTGTTGTTGTTGTTGTTTTTTTATGGGTTTCCAAAAGTGCATCTTTATCTATTTATTTTTTGTTTATTTTTTTAGAACCCATGGAGGAGGACATCTTGCAGGTGGTGAAATATTGCACTGACTTAATTGAGGACAAAGATTTGGAGAAGTTGGATTTGACTATGAAATACATGAAAAGGTTAGTTCTGTGGAGTTAAGATTCCTCAATTTAACTGTCTTCCTCTTTCTTTGTTTTCAAGGTTTCACTTGCTTGTTACGCTTGAGCTTCGTTTTTTGTTTTTGTTTTTCCCTGCAGGCTCATGCAGCAGTCAGTGGAGTCTGTTTGGAGTATGGCTTTTGACTTCATCTTAGACAACGTGCAGGTGGTTTTGCAGCAGACTTACGGCAGCACCCTGAAAATAGCATGAAGAAAGACGGGGTGCTCTCCTCGCTACATGCGATCGTTGTAAACAACACTTTTTTGATTTGTTAATTTCACAATACAAATCATGATGTCTAAATTCTGACTTATGAAAGATACAAATAATGGCTACACTTTTATGAGAAAGAGCCATGACAGTATTTTGAAGTATTTTGGACAAAGCGGTTGTTTTTATCACAGAACAATGATGATAGTAGCAGCTTTTTGGAAACTCACTTTCATTCACTCTTATTTTCCTACGACTCATTTTCATATGCAAGATTTTATTAAGGGCAAAAAAAGCATTAAGGGTATCTGTTTTTTGTAGCACTGCAAAACTTTCAGCTGGTATTAGATCGCATACTCCTGTGGTGACCTGAGCATTGGTGCTGTAGATCTGCTCCAGAGATCTGTTTCCAGAGACAGTTCAGGGTCATTTTGGGTTAGAGAGTCACAGAGAGTCAGATCTGGAGACTGCTTTCTGGCTCGATACCAACGAAGGCTGCTGTTAGATCTCTGAGTCGTAGCTGGACTCTGAGACAAACAATAACATCCGTTCCATCCAGGCCTGATTTCGAAATGTATTTTTTGTTTTCATTTTGGGTATTTCCCCGTCTTGAGCGTTAGAATCTGGTATGTTAAATTTTCCTCTCTTGGATACATGATCATGTTAAAACAAAAAGTATATTTCAGCAGTTTTACAAACCGCTTACCTTGTAGCATTCTTTATACATAAGACATTTTCAGAACTGATTGGAGAATTTTTTGGGGGGGTTTTCCCCATCATTGTTTTATCGGTGCTCTTTGCCACTAGCACTTATCTGTGAAGCATCTACTGCTGCGTGCAGCAGTGTCGCTTTTTTTTTTTTTTTTCCTTGTTTCTCGTTTCTTTCCAAAAAAAGAAGTGCCAAACGCTGTTATTATACTGTGTAAATAATGTTTTAAAGATCTTTGTCTAAAGTTTTAAAAGAAAAAACATGTATGTAGAAAAATTACCTCTTGTATTGTTTACCGGTAGTGGATTCTTAGTAACTGTCTCTAAATTGTAACTCTTTAAATGTTTCTAAATGTTCCAACATGGAAGTCAGAAGCTGGCCAAAGCACTTGAGGTGAGGTTAACTGTTGATTCTCAGTAGCACTCTGATATAGGAGGATGTCGACAGGGGTCATGGCAATCAATGAGTAGCCTATGCATTTCTATTTTTTCTCACATAACAATGAGATGTCCCTTCAAGACCACGTAACATTAAATAAAGCATTTAGTGTTTATGCTGAATGTGCATAGGAAGAGGCGATATGATAACTCTGTCACCCACAGTGTCTGATTCACACCCTCGAGACACTTTGTACAGCTTGCAGCTGTGTCGCAGTATTTGTGTGAGGTTTGACTTTAACAGCAGATGCAGCTGCTTGACTTGTGATCGCACCATGGAGGATAATTTGCTTGCAGTTAAAATGCGTGTTTTAAAAGATAATTCTGATATGCAAACCAAATCAATCGGTCATCTTTTGAAACTTGTTGAAATGAATGTAATTTAGAATGTGTGATTCACTTTCAAGACATTGCTTCTCTTCACCTCTCACGTGTTTCCCGAGGGGAATGGCCAGAAGTTAAAATAAAATAATAATAATAAATTGGCCTGTCTTGTCTAATCTGGCTCGTGCCTGAAGACCTGAAGCTGTGAAACTTGTTTGTAAGTTTTCTAAACCTTGGTAATAAACTGTAAATTCTGTATTCATTTATTTGTCTTTGCCTTTCTATAAACTGGCCTTCAAAAGGACTTTCAGCTGATAGAATATGGTTATGAAAATTATCTTCAGTGTCTCTTTTGTGTTATTCCCAGGTCTGACAGTGATGAGCATATAAATATGCTAGACATGTCTGTTAGAGGTGTATATTATTTTGATGCCAAAAAATATTGAATTTAATAACTTATTTTGTATTGTTTAAATGGTTGACAAGTTGACAAGCTACACCATTTTTTGGGGGGGTCTAGAGAAGGCATATGATAGGCTGGCAGGAGAACAACTGTGGTACCTCACTAAAGAGTAAGTGGTAAAGAAGTATGTGAAGGTGGTGCAGGACAGTGGTGAGGTGTGCAGCAGGAGTGACAGATGGCTTGAAGATGGGGGATTATATGAAGAATTGATGATATCATCGATGAATATATAGGACAAAGGAGGTTGCTTTTGGAGCTGTAGCGGGTATAAGCCATGGCAACAGCTTTAATCTTCACATTTCGACTTGATTCTCAAAATAGAATTTCGATCCCTCCTCCCCCGCCCCTCTTAAAATGCTATTTCAAGTCTTACCTCGAAATTTCGACTTCATTCATGATGTTTTGCATATAAACTACAAATATTCTTCAGCACGGGATTTACTGCAAACAATATAACAATATATTTTTTCTTTAATACATCAGATGACAACTGGGTCGCTATAAACAAAAGCAGCAGTACAACGTGAAAAAAATATAACACACACACACACACACACACACACACACAAAATAAATTAATAAATAAAAATTAACCCGTAGTATTTCACGAGTTGCCCGGATGTACTTCCCACGACGTCAGACGGGCCCGCTGTGACGTTGTATCCGCAGAGAAACGTTTCGTGCGCGGGCTGAGGTGTTGACGAGCATCTGTCACTTTACTAGGTAATAATTTAATAGCAGCTTGGTTATACTTTATATTTTCGACAAAAAGCACAGTTGACGTTCATTTAAAAAAATAAAAGATCAATACAACTGTTTCCAAAACTGTTGCTGTAACGTTTGTTAACAATGGCGGGGCTAATGCTAGCTAGTTAAGATAGCAAGAAAACGCAGACTGAGAGTTTATAGGGAGATTTTTGTTGAACTGCTGGCGTGTAGAAGTAGGTGTAGCTACGTTTCTTAGTTTGTATAAGTTAGCTGCAGATACGTAAGAGGTACCCAGTTACGGTCTGTGCCTGTACCAGCTAACTGTAGGCACCACTGGGCAGAGACAAGGTGTGCCCCCCAGCCGTTACTGGCTTTGTCTGCGGCGTTAGCTAGCTAAAAGAGGAGCTCTCGGACCAGTTTCTGTGTAAGCAACGTTGCTAACGTTACATTGTTGTACATACTTGATCACACCAGCTCACAGTGTAGGGCTAAAACAGGGTTATAAAATTTGGGAACAAAGGCGATGACGAGATTCCTTTCTCTTTATTTTGCGTCTTTGCGCAAAATAAAGCTTATAAATAAGTCGTATGAATAAGTGAACTATTTCCTAGTCGTCATGCGCTCCATCACACTACCTTTGAACTTGTAGCCAGTGCAGTGTGGATGTCACATGACTGATACACATCAACCACTGACATTTGCAGAAAGCTTGTATCAGCTGATATCGATATTAGGCACTGTGATGTTGTTATTGTCCTGCTGTCTGGTGTCATGTCTCACCATTGTTTATCTGCCCATTTTCAAACAGAGTCAGGCAGCCATGGCTAACCAATCAATGGAAATCATAGCAAAAGTTTTGGAGCAGTCAGCCAAGCTGGTGGAGGAGCAGGTGGATGCCCAGTTGGCCAAGCTGAATGAAATGGATGAAGATGATTTGGAGAGGCTGAAGGAAAGGCGATTAGAGGCACTAAAAAAGGCCCAAAAACAGAAGCAGGTGTGTGGGACAATTTATAATCACTGTAGCATTTTGCTGTGTTAATTTCTTAAAGCAGATAAAATAATTTGAATCACTGAGAAGATTCACTTCTTATTCGCACCATCAGCAGAACCTAGTCTAAAAAATGAAACTTTAGACACTACAATTTGTACTGAAGTCACTCAGTTCTTTGAAGGATCATAATAAAACACCTGGTGTCATGTTTATAGACTGCCTTGCTCTGAAGTTAGGCTACACAGCAATTGGGTCTATTATTCAAACCCTTTAAAGAGTGTTTTCATTGTACTCCACTATAATAGCTTTTCTTGTATTTGTAATCTTTTGTTTTGCTTTTCAGGAGTGGTTGTCTAAAGGTCATGGGGAGTACAGAGACATATCCAGTGAGAAAGACTTTTTCAGTGAAGTGAAAGACAGCAAGAATGTCGTGTGCCATTTCTACAGAAATTCAACCTTCAGGTAAGTCACTAAATGATGCAACAGGACCATGAATTAGAAATGTAATGTAGTTCAAAAAACAAAACAAAGAATCAGAGGTAGTTTATAGAAAATTAATGTTCTGCAAATTAATTAATTAATTTATTATAATCATCTTTTCAGACAAAATGACATTTCCTACGTGTGAAGTGTGTTTCAGTTACCTTTAACAATCAACATTGCGCCTTGTTTAACAATCAACATTGTGCCTTGTTTAGCATCAGTTTTTTTTACTCAGTCGCCAAGATATTAATCTGTTGATGTCAGACATCTGAACTTGTCGCTCTGTCCTTAGATGTAAGATCCTCGACAAACACTTGGCCATCTTGGCAAAGAAGCACGTTGAGACCAAATTCATCAAACTGAATGCAGAGAAGGCCCCATTTCTGACAGAGAGGCTGCGCATCAAAGTTATTCCGACTCTGGCTTTGCTTATTGATGGAAAAACAAAGGACTATGTGGTCGGATTCACTGACCTGGGAAACACGGACGAGTTCACCACAGAGATGCTCGAATGGAGACTTGGCTGTGCGGACGTTATTAACTACAGGTGAGATGTGCGGTAGACTCACTCGAGCACCTTTTGTGTTGTGAATGAAAACGTTTTATCTAACATGATCCCTTTTTCCTGTTTCTAGTGGCAACCTGAGGGAGCCCCCAACAGCGACACAGAGATCAGGAACAAAGTTCACAAAAGTGGAGAAGAAAACCATCAGAGGGCGAGGTTACGACTCTGATTCTGAAGATGACTGAAGAGGCTTGACAGTGTTCGGGTTTACTCTCTCAGGGCTACCTCATTACTAAAACTCCAGCAGACAGCCCACTTCCTTTTTTCCCTCTTAGTAATTTCTATTTTTTTAATTAACGCAATCCACTGATTCATTTTATTTAACAAGCATGTTTGTTTCAGCCTTATTTAAGGACTTATCCACCATGATTTATATTGGAATATCTGAGTAATAAAATGTATGGTTCATGAACAAGGGAGCACACTGAGCGACCACTAGCTGTTAGCTGTATTTTGTTTTTCTTGATTTACAGGTGTAATCATTTATTGTAGACAGCTGTCTCACGCACTTTCCTGTAACCTTTGTACGTCTCGTGTTGGAACCAAGTTCATGGTGCATGTGAGTGCCAAGATCATCTTTGAAGAGCAAAATAAATTTTTACATGACATTTCATGGTAGCGTGAGTTTGACCTAACTAATGCAGACTTAATAAAAACAAGAAAAAGATGGGGAAAAAAAACCTGCTTGTGTATTTTTTGTGTTACTTCTTCAGGGTTAGAGGCAGCGTATTTGCAAGAGTTGTATGTTGCCTTTATGGATGAAAATAATACATCCTTAAACTCACTGGATACTTTTGTCTTCAGAACAGTCTAAATTCTTCATAGCATAGGTTGAACATGGTGCTTGAAATATTCCTCAGATTTTGGTCTATATTCACAAGATTACACAGATGGAAGCATCAGAAGATTTGTGGACTGTGATCAACAACACTTGGGTAGGTTGTAGTGTTTAAATGATGCTCTGTTGGTACACAACCTTGGAGAAGGTTGTGTTGGAAAATCCCAGAATATAAGCAGTTTCTGAAATACTCAAGACTACACTGTCTGGCATAAACAACCATGGCACACTCAATCACCTTGAGGCATTCTGATACTGCAGCAGGCTGTAATGACCATGTCGAAATGCATGGAGTTGCTACCATGCGATTGGCTGATTAAATATTTGGATTAGCAAGCAGTGTACCATATGTACCTAATGAAGTGGCCAGTATAATTACTGGCAATGTTTTTATGTGAGCCTTTGTTCTTAGAAAACAAAATAGGTGGAGTTCCCATTTGCTGTTTTTGCCTTTAAACTGAAAACTATAACCATCTAAAAACATTTTATGGGCGTGGATTATTTGTAGCTGATGAGACTGGCTGGTGCTATGCTGAGCACGTTGAGCATTACTACAAAACTAAAAACCGCAACACAAAAGGGGGCCCTCGATTTCTATAAATAACTGTTTGGCAGTCTGATACAATTGAGGTGGTGAGCAAAATACTTGTCTTTGGGATTTAGGAAGTCATTTTTAATTTTAACAATCTGAACCACCAACTGTTGTTGAATGATCTCAGAACCCAAATTACACTTTTTACCAAATTACTAGCTGTCTGTAAAATTAATATGCTGGTATTCAAATTGCTAAACTGTTGATATGTAGAAAAAATAATAAAAATAAATCAAGTTTTCTGGAAAAGTTTAATGAGTAATTCCTGAATTAACTCAAACTTAGAACAGTGGGTTTGCACAGAGTTGAATTTTAATGTCAGTATTCCTGCTTCATCAGGATGGCACTTTGCTCAATCATTTGAGAGACAGGTTGATGAGAACATTTAATCATATTCATCTGCAGCTCAGCATCAAAACACAGGAAACAGCAATCAAGAAGTCTGGTTGGTGCCACGGCTTTCTCTCACTGCAGAGAGAATGACAACAGGACATTTTCCAGGACATTCACACACGCAACAGTGGAGCTAAGATTCGATTGCCTTGTTGTCTACAGGTTGGAGGAGGTGGTGTACAATAAGTTCTCCTTTGCTGTTGATGTATGCATCGGCCATGTCATGCTCAGCAGGGAGCCCATAGGGAGTCTTTAGTGGCTGTATCCTGAAGGTATCAGAAAGAGATGGCAAAGGAGATATAACAGTATAGATATGTAGGCATCTCAGGCAACCTCAATTTGAAAAAAACTAACCTTTTTTTAATAGTACTTTAAGAGTGATGTGTTACTACTTTTGGGTAATTAATCCTACCTTACAAGGTGCTTGACAAACTTCAGTTGGCTGTTGACTGCAGGAGTATTTTTATGAATTACAGGGACTTGAGCCTAAGTGCGAGACAAAGGCAGAGAAAATTATTCCAAAAGATAAAGGCTGTGAGCGTCTGCATGAGGTGACACACTCTGTACAGATCATTTATCCTGATCAGAGCTCCTTCAGGGTACAAGTCACTGTTGAAAGATGCTGAAAGACGCAAAGAATTAAATGGAAATTCCTGAACTAAAGCTGACAGCAGTGTTTTGTTGTATGTGCAAAAAAACAAAAAACAAAAAAACATTGAACATGATCCAGTTACATTAAGTTAATCCAAAAGTAAAACAAAAACGATCTGTAGCCTTTACAACAAGGGAACCCAGTTTGGGGTCCTGTACCATGACAGAAATTTTACCTTTTGAAGCCCGAGGTGTTTTATTATCTCTTTCTCCCAGTATGGCCTTCGCAGCGCACTTTTGACCCGCGTCACTATGTGCAGCTTGTGCGGCTGGTCTGGATCGCCACCATATTTCTCGTGCTCTTTCGATCGCTCAGCAAAAATCTGTTAAGAAAATACAGAATAAAGGATTATCATTATTCCATGGCAGGGTTCATCTGTAATGACGGGCCTAAAGCAACACTTTAAAAAAAAAAAAAAAAAAAAAAAAAAAAAAAAAAAAAATGCTGAGTAGCTAATAATCCACCTAAACCATTTTGTCTACTGGACCTGCTGGAATTATACCCAAACTTACTTAATCCAAATAAATATTAATGTAAAAGAATTATATTTTGACACACACATGGGTAGGGCCACAAGACGTTACATACTTTGAGTGTTGCTAATTACTTTACAAATGTACAACATTATAGATTCTAAATTTATTCTTACCTCTGGTGGGATTCTGGATTTGGAGAATTTGCTTCTTGCTGACACATACCATGCAAAAGGTGACAAAACTGGAGCTTCTGTCAGGGTCTGTAACATATGCAAACAGAGAGAAGGTAAAAAGCAAAGCCCAGTATCAAGGAAAATGTGTTTACTTACATATGCAGAAAATCTAAAAAGTTCTGTAGAGTTAAGTCTCAGAGATAGATTGCTGTTACTGGTGGTAGATATTCTTTTCTTTAGGGAACAAAAGTTTTGTTTTTTTTTGTTTTTGTTTTTTTAATGATTTAAAAATCTGATATTCTGACACATCAGCAGATATTTTGTTTTTATCTTTCAGATCCACAAAATATGAACAGATTTCCCTAACATTTGTCATGTGTAGTTATCCGTTTACTGATTTATGCTTTGCCTGACTCTGGTCAGGTTGTTGGATTTGTGTTACTCCAAACAGCTAATAGCAAAAGGGAAGTTGGAGCGTGCCCTCTGGTGAACAAACTACACAGATCACATTCCTCCCATATTAGCTTTTCATCTCTGGATCCCTGTTAAATCTAGAATTGGATATAAAATTCTTCCTCCTTACATACATCTGATACACCTGAGCACTTCCACTTGTCTCTTTTCACTCCCCTTCTGTTTACACACCACTGCACCAAGTCATTATTGCATACATACATTTTTGCCTTCCCTCTCTCCCTTAGTCTGCTTTTTCCTACCTCTCTTTGCTTTTTTCCCCTCTCTCTTCTATTTCCTCTCATCACCCTCTCCAGTCACAGCATATGCCTGCCCCTCCATGAGGTGGTTCTGTCAGAGGTTTCTTCCTGTTAAAAGGGAGTTTTTCCTTCCCACCATCACAAAGTGCTTGTTCATGGGGGCTAGTTGAACTCTAGAGTCTTTACCTTACGGCATAAAGCGCCTTGAGGCGACTTTTGTTTTGATTTGGCGCTATATAAATAAAATTGAATTGAATTAAAGCATATTGAAGCGATTTTTGATGTGAACTGGTGCTATATATAAAATAAACCTGAACTGAATCTTAGATGACAATATTAGTATTAAAGTTCTAACTTTAATACTTGGAGCACTTTCTGCAGCAAATGTAGCCTAGTGCACATCACAGCTGACTGGATAGTGGTGCAGAGAAGCCCAGTGGCTTCACACAACAAGTGAGTTTCATTAATGCTGAGTTAGTTACAATGGCCTCATTTTCTTTTCTTTTTTTACATAACTGAGCACGTTGTATATGTATCCAGGACATTGGTCATTATATTTGAAAGTTTCGCGTCCTAAAATTCAGCACTGCAGTCATCTAGCAAACAAAATAAATAAATCCAGTAAACCTAGAAAAATCCAGTAACTATTCTCCAAGTCCCATCCCTGATTTGGGTTTCAGGTTTAGCTGGATTTTTCCTCAAGCAGCGTTAAACTAAATGAGCCCGTATGTCAACTTCAAGATGTACGAAACACTTTGTAGACAGTTCAAGTCTGAAACATTAAAAACGTGCAGTGATGTACCCACCTTGACTGATAAAAAGCTCAAACTGCGACAGACAGCTGACATGTTGTGTTCCTTCTGCTGCTCTTTAGCTAACAGGGGCTACGAGACAAGGTTACAGCCTTGCTAACCGCTAAATAACACGGAACTCGAGCCTAACTAACCGCTATGAAAAACTGACCTATAATCATACCAAATTTACCAAGTTCGCACATTTAAACATTAATTCGGCACTGAAAACAGCAGTGAAACAGGAGAGTCACGCTGCTGTCAAGCCCTCTCTCTCCTCCGTCTTAACCGGAAATGTCGGGGAGTTACATTAAAAGAGCACCGCCTCTTCGAGAGCACCGGCAATTTGCACATTGTTCCTACCCTAATTTTTCTAGTGTGATAAATATGTTGTTTGAATAAATTTGGACTTAATAAAAACTGAAAATACTTTAACTGTGTGTTTTTATAAAAAAAAATACATAACCATCAATTTTTTAACCAAAGTCATTACGTTTCTCCGGGAGTTATTTTTATGGGGCACTCGTGGGTAGAGCTACTTCTCTCAGCTTCTTTCCTGTCACTGGTGAAACGTGAAGTTTATTTAGAGTTGTATATGTCTTAAAAGACAGTTGAAAGACAGAACAATGACACAAAACCACCTGTCGGGAATGGAGGCGTCCGCCGTGTCTGTCTTGAAGCGAGCGGTGGAGCTGGACCAGAGCGAACGTTTCCAGGAGTCTCTCATCTGCTACCAGGAAGGCATCCAGCTGCTTATGGACGCGTTAAAAGGTCCTCCTTTAAAAATAAATAAATATTAATAATTACATATTTTAAACATTGCCCTGAATTACGCTGAACGTCTTTTTTTTTAATGTTCTCTTTGTCCTGTGAGCAGCTGTAAAAGATGACTCAAAGAGAGGACACTACAGAGAGAAGATAAAGGGCTACATGGACAGAGCAGAGCAAATCAAAGTTCATGTGAATCAGATGAAGGAAGGTAATTTGCCAGTAATGGAGCAAAAAAGGGCAAAGTGGGCCGGGCAAAGATGAATTACCCTGATCGACTGAGCCTATTGTTTGCAGTGGTTTTGACTGTTAGACCTGTAGCACCTGTGTGTAAATGAGAGGGAGACAGGTGTAACAGTGGAGCTCCAAGGGGCAGAGGTAGATGTAGCGACCCCGAAAGGGAGCAAGAAGTAGAACTTTGTGGTAATTTTGACACAAGCAAGAACTCAAATCAGGTGAACAAGGTGCTTCAGTGTTGCATATGACCAAATTAATAATTTGCACAATCTGACTGACCCTGTGGATTTGGGTTGCTGAAGCCCACTTTGCCCTGTAATCCAGCTCTAGCTGAATATTGACTGTGCGATCTTCTCAACAACCAAAATATCGTTTATTGTTTTGTTATATCCTTTACATTTATGTATAAATCTAATTATCTCTAGTATCTCTTATAGGCAGGATCCTATTCCAGTGTAGGACTGTGCTGGTTAAGTTTTTAGATTTGGGGGAAAAATATATGGCAAGAGCCACAGCTAAAGAAGGGGGTTTTCAAAATTTGTGTTTCTCTTATCTTCCCTGATAGATGGGAAGTACCACGAGCAGATAAGAATATCAGAGGATGCTACTGGTTACAGCTACGAGGTTCTGTTCAAGCCATACATCAGCAGCGCTCTCACTGAAGTCTGGGTGGAGGACCCGTACATACGGCACACCCACCAAGTAAGAGTTTTGTCCTCATTAACTGGGGTTTTTATTCATTCCACTCTGTCATCAGTCTTTTATCTGGCTTTGTTCAGAGGTTGGAGCTTATCTTTAATGAGTTTATCCATTAATTTGATACCAATAGAATGATACTAGAGGACTAAGTCTGCAATACACGTATACATTTTCCGCCTTGGGTAGCAGGAGCAGCCGACGGGGGGGACATAATCTCTTTAACGTGTCCTGGTCTGCGCCAGGGTCTGTCTGTGGCCAGAAAGCCTTCAACATTTAGATGGCTGAAAGATTCATTGATTAATAGAACTATCACAGATTAGTCGAAGTTAAACAAACAAATGTTATAAAAATCTGTCTGGTAGGTTATGAAAAGACTGCTAAGCTGACTTTAATTAAACTTTTTGTAGAGGTCGTGTATGGGAAAAGGAGGAACACATTCAGTTATGATGTGGATGATGTGTTTGATAAAAGCCTGAACGCATATACTGAAAATCTTTTTTTTTCTCTGATCATGTGTTGCAAGCTGCAAGCAAGCAGCTTTCTCCTTATTAGTTTGACTAGCACTTTATAATAAATAATTGTAATTTTATGTTTATGATTTAAAAATCAGCCCTAAACTGTACCAACCTTATATAATATGCCAAACAAAGCCTTCGCCTTTCCTCTCACAAACAGTTGTACAACTTCCTTCGGTTCTGTGAGATGCTGCTAAAAGCCCCCTGCAAGGTGAACAAGATCCACCTCCTCACGTCGCAGGATGAAGTGAGTTACTCACACAATAGAGCTGCATTTTATAGTCAAAGCTGAGCAGCCACTGCTGTCTTCTCTGTTTAGTTTATACTGTCATTTCCCGTCCCGCAGGCTGATAGTGGCCAGCAGAGCGGCGCTCTGGCCGAGTTGAAAGAGAGTCTCAGCGCTCACGGAGTGACTCTAGACCTGCAGTACTCCTCCACTATCCATGACCGGGAGATCAGGTACACCTGCAGATTTTCCTCATTTACAGCAGCCACATACGTGCAGCATGAAGAAGTTCATCCTTGTGACATCTGATGTTCACTTCTACATTAACACTCCATTGCTCAAAATACGGTCTCTTTTATCCCAGTAAATTAAACCTGATTTTATTTTTAGGTTCGATAATGGTTGGATCATAAAAATTGGAAGAGGGTTGGATTACTTCAAGAGACCTAAAGTGAGACTACGCATTATATACTTATTAGTATTCATCTGTAAGTATGGAGTGGCTAAAGTGAACGAGATCTTTCTGTCGTTTGTCTCGCAGGGCCGATTCTCTGTTGGATACTGTGACTATGACCTCAGGCAGTGCCAGGAGACCACCGTAGACATTTTCCACACCAAACACACAAAAACTCTATGAGACTCACAAAGCTAAAATGATTATTTTTTTTGCCATGCCGTTTAATTTACTTACCTGCCTTCCAAACACAAGCAGATCTACAGTATTGTAGGATTTGCTTTAGCTTGCGGGTCTCTGGGGACTGACTTTTATAACAAGATGGGTTACTGTTTGATTTCTGCTGCACTGGAACGTCTTAAATTTCTGCTAACTGTACTGCCGCTGCTATTGGTGAATTTTTAAGTTCAGTTTTCAGTTCTTCAGTTTTCTATGATTTTTTTTTTTCCGTTTTCTATGATATTTATGAAAAATATGGATATTTTTATCATTTTTTTTTACTTCCACAGATTGTAATTCTACAGAGACCTTTTTTGGGGAAAATTAATTATTTCAAAACATTTTTTCTAGATTACTTTACACAATTAAAAATGTATTTTTGTTTAAATCAAATTTAAATTTAAAAATTCAAAACCAAAACATATTTAAAACGCATTAATAGTAAAATGTGTTACAGGATTGCCAACTTTAGGCCCTTTTTAAATGAATTGCTTATGATGGGTAATTGGACCTCTAGGTAATGAAACATTAGGCCCTTTTCAGTTGACTGGAAATGTACCGTCCTGATTCTATTAGTAGATTAAAGAAACCAAACATGGCCCTAAATATCGTTTTGTACTGAAAAATGAATAAAATGTAACAGATTTTAAACTATTTATAATACATAAATGCAGAATAAATATTAAAACTGACCAAAGTGTGCTGAAAGATTGTGAGATGCTTTCTTGTTTTCTACAGAATAGAAAAAGTCCAAGACACAGATAAAATGAAAACAGTGACCAAGAGGACGAGAGTGGGTAGAGTTACACAGAAAGGTGCACTTACAGAAAGTGTTTATGGTAATCAGCTGGTTGTTTTCCAGGTTATTATAGGGTTAGGGTGGAGGATTACACTAAAACCTAGAATTAAAACATTTTATTGAACTAAAAAACAAAAACTAGACTTGGAAAAAAATTAAACTAACTGAAACGATTTTGTGAACTTGGAAAACTGACTCAAAAATGGTAAATGGCCTGTATTTGTTTAGCGCTTTACTTAGTCCCTAAGGACCCCAAAGCACTTTACACTACACTACATTCATCCACACTCTGGTGATGGCAAGCTACATTGTAGCCACAGCTGCCCTGGGGCGCACTGACAGAGGCGAGGCTGCCGGACACTGGCACTACCGCGCCCTCTGACCACCACCAGTAGGCAACGGGTTTAGTGTCTTGCCCAAGGACACAATGACCGAGACTGTCGGAGCCGGGGCTCAAACCGGCAACCTTCTGATTACAAGACGAACTGCCAACTCCTGATTGGTCAAATTTTATCGTAGCTTGTCTGATGAAGCGTTGATAGACAAGACTGAGTCCTCTGATTCAACTAAACATTTGCCAACAATAAAAATCTGACTTTAAAAAAAAAAGAGCAGATGCCGGTCAGTGCAGATCAGACCTTGTCATAGTCTCCACACAGTCAGATTATATCCATCAAAAACCACTCATTCACTTATACACACTGTATTTGATTCAGACATAGGTCTTTACATCTGTAACAAGTTCACAAACATTGCAAATCCCATTCTGACTCTTATTACAACAAAGTCTAAGCTCAAGGCACATTCACCACCTGCTTCATAGCTTTCATACATATTACACGGATCAGCAGATCAAGCAGTCATGGAGCACTGAACTCATGATTCCTTAAAAACCTACATATTTCCACAATTATTGAATTCTGGATAAGGTTATTAAGACTTACAATTACCGGAGATGTACATGTTTAATATCTTTGACTGATTTTTATGTCCCAAAGCTATATTGTAGCCATAGCTTCTTCTGTTTCTGCTGGCTCTGTATTGGTGCAACATTTCATGCATGTAAGACACTGACGTCTAGTTAACGATTACCATCAAACTCTTATCTGAATCCAGAATCCCAAACTAAATACAGATAAGCTGCAGGGGAAAGCTTGTTCAGTGGTTTCAGATATCGGCCAATTGTTCTTGGGTGAATCAATGGAAACATCTTTCCAAAAATAAGTTGTCTATAAAAGTGAAAAAATAAAAAACCCCAAAGAAAATTCCCTCACATTTTTTTCACATTTGCTAGAATGAATGGTAACCCTCGTGACTTCAAACAGCGCTGTGATCGGATTATCTATCGGCCTTAATCTCGATATGCACAGCCCTCATCTGGCCTGTGAGAGGAAGAAATTATAATCCATCGCAACACCACATGAATCAGAGACTGCCATATACTGCGAAAAATCAGTACCTTTGCTTTCTTTCTGTCAGGGGGACAAATGCTGTGATGACAAAAGCAGAAAGTGCAATAAACGTGTATGATGCTTTATTATCTACAAACAGCCTCCCTATGATAGCAGATATTAGCCATAATCACATTACATCCCTATTATAAGATAAAAATAAGCCTGTGTGTGTATTCTCCTTTATGTGTAGATTATGGACAATAAATCTATGAATGAGGGAATTAAATAAAACCACATCCCAGACTGTTATGTCACTGTGGGCTCTTATCACGGTGCATGTGTCCCGTTGGATGTAATCCAGATGTTACCCAGCTGGATGTGGGTTCTGGTGGGAGAGACGAGGATTTATCTGTAAGGAGACTCATTGGAGATGCTGCTCAGCCAAGCTTCCAGACACATGGATGCAGATGCAAGCGTTCGCATGCCAATTCCTGCAGGCCCTCCCTCTCGCCGATTGTAGCCCAGTGGCCTAGATTAGCTCTCCCATCTCCCAGTACTGTCCTGTGTGAATGCGCAGGAAGTAGGACTCGCAGGAACAATGTGTCATCTCGTTGCTGCGAAACGAGGCGTCGTCTCACAAATCGTGAAAAATGTGTGTGGGAGTTATAGAGGAGCAAAGGTCCCAGGCGAACATTTCAAAGACCGCACCTTCAGGACTGTGGCCAAACAGTCTTGGGTGAAAATGATGTGACGTGCTGGGAGGTGGCTGATTCCTGTTTGTTTTTATTTATTTATTTCATTTCTGAACGCTCACAGCACACCCATAGCCTCCGCTCTTTGATCATCGGAAGGGCGTGAGCGAGCCTGTGCAATATGTAAACAGCTCTATGAGCCATAATTCCTATATTCATGTCCTCTTTCCAGCTGGAGCTTTATTTCTAATTTTTTTACCCTCTACTCTCATTTCTGGGCCTAAAATCAGGTTAACGTTTTATAAGGAGCTTAGCACAGAGGGCCACAGTGTGCCACTAATGTAATAGAGTATCTCTCTCGCTCTCTTTCTCTCACTCTCTCTCTCTCACACACACACATTCTCATCTGTCCTCTTTTCTCTTGTGCATTTGCTCACCCTGTCAGGAAGTGACCTTCTCTCTCTCTCTCTCTCTCTCTCCCTTTCTTTCTTTTCTCCCAGCCTGTTTTTTTTCCCACCTCCCTCACTCCCTTCCCTCGGTATCTCCCTCCGTCTGCAGATGTGGTAAGTCTGAGGTTTAATCATTAAGGCAGGGACACAACTGATACAAGACCGCTCCGTGAAGAGAGGAGGACGATCAGGAGGGACAAGTTGAGGTGCTTGGTTTTAGATTTTTGGTAAGTTCAGCTGTTGTGTTCTTTTTTTTTTCTTCCTCCTTCCCCATCTGGAGTGCGTGTGTGTTTTCCCCCAGGGAATGTCACCTGGTGGAGAAATGTTGCAGCGTTGTGGATCATTACGGCGTTGTGAAATCTTACAAGAATCTCTCTGCAATGTCAATAATCCACCGGATTATCCTCTGTTTCTCTGGGAGCTATAGTTCAGCTCAGTGAACGGTGAAACCGCAGGGAGCACTTCACTGCGGAGAGGAAATCAAATCTGAGGTTTACATACTGTTTAAATCGATTTGCTTAAACTGATCGCAACTTTTTTGAGGATCGAGTGAAAAGGGTGTAATCGGTGGCATGAGCGGTGCAGTGTGGACTTTGCTTGTTTGTCCATAACCTGGCACATCTTGTCTTATCAGGCAGTTATACAGCCTCATGCTCTGTTGACAACAGTTCCTTAGATACACCAGCACCCTGCAAAAGGTGGGATATACTAATGTCAGGCCGGTCTTCATGAAAAAAATTGGAACTGACTTTAGCATAGAGTAGCACGCCAACTCAGTCAGGATGTTTGTGAGATGGTAAAGCAGTGAAGGAAGATTTTAGCTTTTGCTTTGTTCATCAAATGTGCTGTGCAGTGCGATGCCATGCTTCAAATCCACATTCTTGCTACTCTGCAGTACCTGGGGTGTTTTTTCTTGGCAATGCCACGTGTAACATCGATTAAGACGTTGTTCATCTTGACAACAGACTGTCCTCACCCAGCCCTCCCAACTGATAATGAACAGTAATAAACCTTTGAACCTCGAGTCCATGTTTACTCCTGCAAAGACAACAAGCGAAGTGTTTTCCACTGAACACTTAACTGTCATCTGCTCTACACTTTTTTTTTCCTTTTAGGGATCAGACCGATGGAGTCTTTCTCGGGAGACGCAGAAGAAAGCGCAGAGGACGTCGCAGGTGAGGTGATCTGTCTCGTAGTTTAACCTGAGAGTGCTAACACATCGTCATGAAGTGAAATATGAAAGAGATGCTCATTGATAGAACGTCTCGAAAACAGAAAATAGAGAGTGTGCGAGAGCACGTGAGTTCTCCTTGTTCACGTGCGCGTGAAATGCTGTGACCTGGATCTGTCTCGGTCTCAATCTCTGTTAGGACGTAAAAGATCCAAGATCAAGGATCTGAAAACTCGTCTCTTTGGGAAAAGTAAGAGAGCAGGCGGAGAAGGAAATACCAAACTCAGCCAGTCAGCCAGTGACATCACTGCAGGAAAAGATCTCGGATCAGAAGAAGATTTGGTGTGAGTGTTTACGTGACACGACGCCTTTCGAAAAATTCTCTTTCAGATTCACTTACTTGTCATTACTTTGACTCGTCCTTCTTCTGGCTCCACTTAGATGCGCACAGGCCATCATGGGATCGCGGGCACTGTCCCACGACAGCATCTTTCTGGATGACCTGGTCATGACAGACCCTGAACCCACCAGGGTCTTATCTCAGGAGAACGTTCACAGCAAAATCAAAGCTCTCCAGGTACGGCACTTCTTTATTTTAGGCCTGTTGTTTAAACTTATGGTAACAGTGACTCTATTAAAATCCTCGTGCTCCGCTCTGTCATCACAGATGACGCTTCAGCAGCAGAAAATGCATTTGGGCCCACCTCCTATGGTCCTGCCAATGAGACGTCCACCAGATCTGAGCAGCCAGGAGTCACTTCCTCACAGCCCTCCTCACGATTCAGGAGAAGACAATACATCTCAGGAAACCCTTACAAAGGTGCATAATCCTGCTGATTAGATGATGCGTGGATTCAAAAGCAGGATTTGCATTTGTTTAAATTTAACAAGCAAGCATAAAGTGTTCTGATCATATGTTTTTATTCTCAGCATATCCCATAAAAAAGGCCAGCGCTGTACCCCCATTTTTTCCTATTATAGTTATAACTGAAAAAAGTGGGGTTATAAATACCTATATAGCATCATTTAAGAAAACAGTATATAGCAATCCCTAAAACAGCTGGTCGCTGTAAAACGTTTTATTTAAGCAGGAGAAACTGGTGCATATGTTGGGGACTATTTTAAGACACAGATTAATGCACGGTCTGGACACTCCTGAGGATTTACGGTGTACGTGGGATTGACTGGACAGAAACTTCAAGAGAGGAATCTGTCATCTGAAATGCTGTTTCCAAAAGTCGAATCAGTGATGGAGCCAGAGGGTTCTTATGTAAGGTGCACTGTTAAACTGTGTCCCTGCAAGCCTGGCCCCTCTTTGGCTCCACTCCATATAGAATATCAGATAGGTAATAGAGGTTATCAACAACCATGTGTGATACATTGACATAATAATCCAAAACACTGTATTTTGTAGTTCTTTCTCTTAGCCCATTGTTTGCAGGATTGTACAGCGATTTTGTTGGCCTTTTTTTCTTTGCAGGCGATATCTCAGCCAACATCTCGCACTCTCTCACCCATCCCCAAACCTGCACCTATCAAATCTCTTCCCTCGACTCCATCCCATGCTTTTCCTCTTTCCGTCCCCTCTGTTTCTCCTTCTGCTGCTGAGGTCCCGTCGGATTTTAGAACACCGGCTCAGTTCGCTTCCCGATTAGACACTTCTGCCGCACGCCACCGAATGTCTATCAAACCCAGAAACCAGAGGGCCAGCACTAAGATGAAAGCTGCCGCGGTAAGTTGCTGTAGTTATTTCTCTCTCTTGTATGCTCTTTGTATAAGCAAATAGTGCACCGCCACTTCACTTTCCTGCCCTTCATATCTCTCGCTCTTTTTTTATTTATCTTCAGACCGTCTCTCAGTCTCATTTAGACACCATGAACAACATTGACCGACCCGAGCCTGTCAAAGAACTAAAACACCATCTTGGTGCTCAAGAAGAAGTAACAGTGGAAACAAAAGAAGAAGAAAAAGTTGCTGTTCCCATTGTACATCAGCGTCTTCCTTCAAAATGTGCAGAAGTGCCACCGGTCACATCAGAGGCGGTACCCAAACCAACAAGTCAAAGTTTCTCCAAACAGGACTACGTTCTTCCTGAGACTGTAGCCTCCCAAGTACCTCGAGTTAAACCTCGCAGACGTGTGGGTTCAGCATCTGGTGAACGTCCACACTCGTCCTTCATAGAGTCAGGACTGAAGGAACAAAGACAAGGGGATTTGGAGAAGCAACTAATGCCTCATGATGATAATGCCTCAGGAATAGCATTCAGGTGTTCCTCTGCTAGCCAGGAGGTTCAAGGTGATAGCGAACCCACAAGAGGAATTAAACGATATGCCCAAGGATCTGGCTCTTTCCACTTTTCTGTCACTGCATCGAAAAACAGAGATGGAGAAAGACCCCGATCGGGCAGTTTTTTGGGAGTTTTGGAACAAGCTGAAGCCAGGAACAGGATCAGTAGGGAAATGGAGGAGAAAAACAGGGAAAAGGAGGAAGTTAAAGAGCCAAGAGAGCATCCTTTTGCTTTAGGAAGGTTTCGTCAAGAAGGCGCACCACCTAAAACCTCAGCTGTTCCCTGGGACAGGAGTGACAGCTTCAAAAAGGTGGAATCAGTGACAGCATATAAAGACGCACCTGCAGACACAGGCGCTGCTGAGGCGGAGGAGATCGAGAGCAGCCAGGAAGAGGTGGAAGAGGCGGTGGAAGCAAAGGAGCCCCAGGAGGAACAAGGAAAAACAGCTTTCGGTGTCAAACTGCGCTCCACATCTCATTCACTTCGATTTCGGCTTGATACATCTTCTAACAGGCATTCAAAGTCAGCACTGGGTGAGGACCAAGGTGACCAAAAATGCCAAGAAATAAGTGAAAAAAAGTTGCAAGAAAATGCGTCTTGGATGCCATCCTCCTCTGGAGAGGTCAGACCAGCTGGTGAGTCTTTCAGAGCTCCTAACATTGTCATGTAGAAGGTTTGAAAGTACTTAAAATAGTTTTTAAAAAATGCCTTGCAAATTCAGAAAAATCCAGCTAAGTAAATTAGAACTAAAAGGAAAAAGCTAAAGAATTTAGGCAAAATGTGTAAAGTAAAAATAAAATAAAATAAAATAAAATGAAGACTAGATTGAAATAAATATGTAATAATATAGCATAACGCTGACATAATGTCAAAATATCACACTGGAATCACACTGATTATAGAAGCTGATGTTTAATTTGGAGATCTGCTTTAAATTTACACTGATAGTGAAGCAGCGTCTCACAGCCATTATCTCTTTGATTACAGAGTTAATATTGCACAGATGTGCACTGTTGTTGCTGTTTAACATGGTAAATAATCACTCTAGGAAGATAAGATTTTTACTGATCACAGGGGAACTTTGTACTCATTAAGATACCACCCGGGCGAACTTTAACGGTAACAGTGCTGCCGAGCGTATCTAACAGATTTGTGTGTCTCCCTTAGATCAAACCCCATCTGGCTTCTCTCCTCCAGTCAAACATAATGCTCCATTTGCCAGCGAAACGTCCGACGTTCAGACGACGCCTGCAAACCCAAAAGAAGCAGAAGCTACACCCCGGGAGCCTCAACCTGCCCCGCAGGCGACCTCATCTGAGGTGTCCTGGATGGCTCTGGCCATGGAAAAAACCAAGAGCCTTCAACAGCTTTTCATTAGTAGATTCCCCAGAGATTTTGCAGGAAATTTACAGGCAAACATGCAATCTTCAGCACGACCGCAGGCACAAGCGCAGCCCACAAATCCAACAGAGACTTTTACACAAGTACGGACACAGACTGTGCAAGCTGCAAAGCAGCCATCGGCAGAAACGAATCAAAGCAGAAGCCAAGCACAGACTGTCAAAACATCGCCAGGATTTCTGCAACAGAAGGCATCTCCTGTGCTGTCCAATGCCTCCAGAGATCCACAAATGTCAAAACACACCAGTGAAGACCAGATGAACACAACTAAGTCTGCCTCACATTCAGTGGTAACCACCAATCCGTGGACAACCCATTCTCCTTTGCGCTCCCCTTCACAAACAGACACCTCGTTTCAGTTTGCACAAGGCAGCGCCACACAGTCTCTTGCGCAGTCTTACCTTTCCTCAGGCCAGCAGCAATCCTCCTGGAGCAATCGAGGTCTCCAGTCTGCCCAGCAGCTCAAGCCCACACCTTCAGCGCAGACTTCAGCTCCCGCAGCCTCGTCAGCTGTTGGTTCTGCTTCAGCTTTTGCCTCAGGAAGAGGGGAGAGAGAAGCCAGTGAGCAAAAAGAGGCTCCGCCACTCACAAGCCGAAGAGCATTTTGGTCTGGTTCTGTAAGCGAGAAGGCTGCTTTTTTAGAGAGACGGGGAGAGTGGACCACACCACCTGGACCCAAGGGGGTTTGTGGTACTTCTTTATAACTGTCTTTCATATCATTTGCCATCCTCACAGTGCTGCCTGACCTCCCCTTGCTGTCTGTGGCAGTCAGATCAATGCCCATTTGAAAATATAAATGTTTAAAAAATCTCTAAGTCTCTATTTGGCAACTATAACAGTAGCCTAGCATGTGTCCGTCATTCATTTGGTGTCCTGGTGGCTACCAACATATTGTTTTATTGCAATGGAACTGATGATTTTGACTGGGTTTATTAGCAGGTTAAATTTATGATTGTTTCTGGACTTTTTATGGCACTTTCTCACGGTGGTTGAAATGCAGGCCATGAACAGATAATAGGGATTTTTTGAACTGACAAGATTGTCCTGAATGTGTGTTCTTAGGTGGAATTGAGGAAAACGCATACAGACATGCAGGGATCAGGTGAATCCCCTACCTTGGCAAAAAACGCACCTGTGATCAAAGATGCAGATGAAAGACAAGCAGTAAACCTTGCAGGTGTGTTTGCTCAGAGTGATAATAAATCATTGCTGTACAAACACCTTTTTAATATTCTTAATGAACCCATTTGACCTAGATTTTTTCGTTTTTTAGAGTTAAGCCCCACCAACGTTGCAGAAAGGTCGCGTGAGGACAGATGGTCACGGAAAAATGCAGCGTCTTCTTCATCACCGTCATCATCACCCACACTGCCCTCGGTGCTGCAATCCATGTCTGACAGCGGTCAGCCGTCCTGGATGGAATTGGCCAAGAGGAAGTCAATGGCCTGGAGTGATAAGACCATGGACTAAGAAGGACACGAGTCGATGAAGAGCCCATCATAAAGACTAAAACCGCTTCATGGTTAAAGTGTAGGCTGTGTGGTGATGCTGTCAGACAGCCGGTTGCTTGATGCCGTTTTTATTTGGATTTAAGTGTTAATGTTTAATTACGGAAGAGGATTAGGGCCACTGGAAAAAAGAAAGTGGGCACGTCTTTTTTTTTTTCTTCTTTTCCAGAATTCTGAGGAAAAAGTCAGAATTCTGACCGTAAAGGAACAATTTTGAGGTAAAAGAATTTTGAGTAAAAAGTCAGAATTCTCACATTAAAGTCAGAATTCTGACTTTTGCCCACTTTTTTTTCCGGTGGCCCTAATCCTCCTATTTAATTGAGAGTGAATATCTTCTGAAAGTTCATCATGATCGCTGTTATTCAGTTAAGGACGAATACTTCATGTGATTGAGCATTTCACAGCTCTTAAAAGTTTATGTTAAATAATAAATTTGTAAGGACGAGTTTGTTGTTGTCATTGAATGACTTAAACTTCAAGTAAAATGAAATGGTCAAATTACATCGCAGTATAGTCATTCACTTGGTATCACCTGAATATCTCCTGAAATTGTCCATCAAACTGCTAAAAATAAACTTCTTATAACACACAGTATGTGGAGAGCGACAGTCAACGCTGAAAAATGTCCCGAGCTACCTGTTAGATTAACCTCTTGTCTGCCGGTGTTTCCTGGACGTTTACTTCTTCACTAACTTAGTCCACAGCCCCACCTGCAGGCCAGATCTGAGACCTTGTACTAAGCTCTACAGCATTACAGCAAACATGGATTCAAAAATGGTATTTTTTATTAAAAAGTCTGAAATCAACAGGTACCTTATTTTCACACTTAAAAAAAGATGGGTGTGATTTAAAAGTAATAAAAAATAAAAAGTCAATTAAAGCTGACATTTTCAGGACCTCTCATGGCCTTACACTGTTAACATGACTTATAATAACCCCGTACCATTGTTAATAATTCATGTTAGCCCATGCTACACCCACACAGGTGAGTCATCTCCTGGGACTATGTGGGTGACGTCGCTGTCAGCCTTGTTTGTGCATAACATACATCAGAGATTCTCAGTGTGAACATTTAGACTTCCTAATGTCTGCTAGATAAATGAGGCTAGATTTGTAAGTTCATAAGTTTTAATGTATAAAACAACTTTTGAATTTTTTTTCAATTAGGCAGTTTATACTTTCAATCCTTTTTACAGCCATATATTTTGTAATAATTGCAGCGTCAAATAATAAGAACAAGTACAGGACTTCTCTTTGACATCAGGAGACTGCAGAGTATGAAAAAGGTTATCTGATGTCACAGTTTTTACACTGGGATGTAACCCATAATGCACTGGGCTCCCAGGAGACAGCAGCTCAGCTGTGAAATTAGTGTTGTCTGGGGAAACGCAGAGTAACACATTTTTTTTTAATGAGCTTTACATTCTGAAATATTTAGCACACAGACTGGCCTTAAGTATAACTCTGTCACTACAATACATTTTCTGGATTTAAGGTTAAACAATTTAAAGGAAATTATTATTAGGGAGGAAATAACAAATCCGACTGATGCTGATACAATCTTGTAGTTAAAGTGGGAGATAAAAAAGAAGCCAACAAGTATTGTTAGCTATAGGTTATAAATACTCTACTCCAAAATCTTGTGCACCTGGTTGTCAGACAATCATGCCGGTATTTTCAGCTTTAATGGAGAATCTATAGTGGAAAAAAAGAATCCGCTCTACCTGGATTTGATTTTCATCCCCACATGGCTCTGTTATCTGGCTGCCACATAACGCCTCTGGAGAAACCATTTCTTTTTCTACAGGACTCAGCTATGTTTGCTGGCACAAAACAGTTTTCTTTGCGTCACACAAACCCAGTCAGGTTGCGTGTTTTTCCAGGTAAGTTTTGCAAAAGTTCCGTTCCCAGTCATCAGTCATGTGTCCTCTGTGTGGCACCTGAATATCATCATAATTATAAAACTCACTGCCAAGGTAATCACAACCTTAATCATCCTGCAGCCCAGGCACTCACAATACGACTGACTCACTCACGTCAGTCTGCTATTCAGTTCTGCACCATGCCAGCCACCCACAACAACAACACAACTCACCTGTGCATTAGACTCCAGATAATTATAGGACATTAACTGATGTAACAACAGTTCACTGTCACTTGTTAGCAGAAGAGCAGATTGAAAGAGTAAAAAAAGTAAGAACTTAAGAACATGAAGTCAGACTTCCACGTTTGAAGGAATGAACTTTAAATGATTCTTTTCTCTTTGTATTACTTGGATTCAGACCTCCTATGGGTCCACTCTAAATGCTGAATATAGTTACTTGTTTTAATATTAGAGTACAGCTTCTGTCTTTAACACCAAGTGAAGTCACCAGCAAAAGAGCAGATGTTCTTTAGCAAAGATTAAACAAAGACAAGGTTAAATAAAACCTGATGTAACATCATTGGTCTTCACTTCTATTGTGAGTTAAAGAGTGTTTGTGTCTTATTTACTGTGAAGTAACCAGGACATCCAGAGCCAGTTTGGCTCCCTCACTCGTTTTTTCCCAGGGTGAATGTAGCTGTTGATTATAATGTGGATTTGGGGTCCTGTGGGTTAATAAAATTATGACAAATGACACATCCAGGAAACCTTCTTTTACACAGTCATTGTCTCAGCCATGTGTATAAAGAGTAATATCACTCCTAGCTATAGTTTGACAAAATCAATATCTTTGAATTAGAGAGACGGTGCCATGTTTGTTTATTACTAGAGATGGCACGATACCACTTTTTTATGTCCGATACCGATATCATAAATTTGAATATTGTCCGATACCGATATGAATCCGATATAGTGTGTTTTTTTTAATTAAAACGGGGTTTTTTTTATATCTTGCTGCATTTTGTATAAGTTCAGATTCAAGTTTTAAAAAAACAAACAAACACTAAAGCTATTCTGTTATACCTGTATGCAAAAAATACACTGCACCCAAAATATTTCATAGTTCAGCAATACTGATCAATCTAATAAACTTAAACCTACTCCATCCTCCCTATTCTGGTATTTTAAAGAATAAGCAACCTAATTAATAGGGTTGCAAACTCCCAGCAAAAAAAAAATAACGAACCACCCTCCACCTCATGATGCTTAATCGACGTAATCAACATTAATTTGATGCAGTGTGAAAAAAAATGCACAGAAATAAATTATTTTTCAAGAATAATTAAATAGATTCAACATCTTTCTTCAACAGAAGTGCAGACTGCACAGATGGTACCTTCCCAAAGGAAAAGTACTATAGCTTACTAGGGTATATTAGACTTAATAGTTACTATATACAGTAATGGACTTCTATACATATACATCAGATTAAAACTTTGGGTGTAAGATTCAGATAATTAATTATTAAAAACTAGACATTTTAAATGAGAATAAGAAAGAAAAGTATGTCTTTGTTTGATTGAAGTAGCAGCAGGAGAGGGAGGGGGAGAGAGAGCCAGTCGCTCCATATATCCGTTGTTAAGCTTAACACTGGAATGCTTTACAAACATTCAGAGATGAACTTACACACTTGCTTTACTTCTCTCTGGGAAAACTTCCTCGGAGATGAAATGCTGGTTTGGTAGCGAGGCTACAAATACACACAGCCGCTCTATCACATGAGCACACTGCTCCAACGTGCTACGGTTATGAGCCGAGTTACGCCATGTCACAAGTTTTGTGAGGTGCTTTTTTGATATTTAATGGATCGGATTACATTTTTTATTTCTCTCCGATATCCGATCCAGTAATTTAGTTTATCTGACCAATACCGATACTTGATATCGAATCGGTACATCTCTATTTATTACTGTTTAATTCTTGATGAATACATTCATATTCCCTTTTTGCCCTTTTAACAATTCAAAAACTGAACATTAGCCACCTTTGTAGATCCAAAGCACCTGGCATTTGTTCAGCTGTGCGGAGACTATGGTGGTAAAGTGGGCCATCTAAAAATCTGAAGGTTTGTGGTTTGATCCCTGGCTCCTATCTGCATGCTGAAGTATCCTCTGGGAAAATACTGAACCCCGAATTGCCCCCGATGCATCCATCAGAGTGCGAGTGCAAATGTTAGACAAGGGTTAGGAAAAAACTGCTTGTAGGAATCTGTGTGTGATTGGGTGAATGAGGGTTGCAGTGCTCAGTCACTGTAAATAGGTGCTATATCCGGCCATTCATCAGATGTACTAAAACTTGAATTACTTTCCTCCTACATGGTTTAATATTTTACTCTCTTTTCTCAGGCAGTTCGATTGGGCTGTTGTAATGACTAATATGACTAAAACATTGCCACTGCAAACTATACTAGTTCATAATGCAAACTGATATGTGACTTTAGTATTCCAAATGTCCAAGTAATCCACTCATCCCTGAGGTAATGGGCTACTACAACAGGACTAATGAAATAAAATCCACGTCATGCAGGCAGTATTGTAAAGATTTTATTAAAAACACATACTTTACAACAAAGCTACGTCTCTATTAAAAAAAAAAATCCAGTCACAATTATATTTTGGTGTGGGTGCATCCAGATATAAAAAACACTCCATCTTCCTGCAAATGTAGTTTCCATTGCTACCGTTACTGCTTTATCCACGTACAATGGATAAAAAAAATTATATATATATATATATATATATATAAAAACAATTTTTAAATAGTGTAAGGAAGGCAAAAAAGAAATTACTGTAAAAAACAAACTTGACAGCAAAACAAAAATAAAAACAAATAAACACTGTATCTTTATTAAACTTATGCTTAACCAGGAAGTAAAACTAGAAAGTAGGAATCTCTTCTGCGAGTCCTGGATCTTTTTCAGCACAGGCACCTTTTTACAACGACAAACGTACTTAACCCAAAAAATCCATCACCACACGTAAGACAATTCAGGAGAACTAGGACAAGAATCACATACAATCATATTAATAACAATCAATAATATGATATCATGCAGCTGCACATCACCTGCAGTATACACCATCACCCGCAGGGTACAATTATACTCATACAGTATATTTACACTACTAAATGAATCAACAACATCTTTGTTCCTTCCAGGTGACCAAACAGGCACCAACTTCTTTATCTTCATTTTTACCGTTTTCAAGAAAAGATCAAAAGACAGAAATGTTTCAGATGACTACAGTGGTGTTGCTATGGGAGCTTCGATCCTACGAGAGAAAAGTGAAAAAGGTGAAATTAGAATTTAAGATGAGGTTACGCACACAGGTAGAGAAAAGCACCAAGACATTAGAAGAAAATAAAAAATGAAAGTAGTTAAGACTAAATGAATGGCACTTCATCCACACCTTCAGGTATATTTGTAATCTTTACAAATCAGTCTTTTGCTTAATTTGCAATTAATTAAAAACCCCTAAATGCAGTTCTGTGAAATTGCCCGCTTTTATAGTTTTCACATAGTTTTGCATAAAAGCTCTTCAAACCATTTCATACACTGAATCATTTCAGTGTATGAAATGTATCCATTTTCTGTGTCCTCGGTCAGGATTCTAAACATATTTCAGTTAAAATACAATAACTCTGCAGTCGTTGTAGGATCACAGTGGTGCACTGACTGATACTGCCAACCTAAAGGTGTGGCTGGGATATTAAAAGCCATGCAAGATAAAAGAAGAATAAAACAACACACCACTGGGTCAGAGTGTGTCACTAGCTGTGTGTGGATCTTACAGAAAGGCGGTCGTAGTTCTGGTTGTTACTGCGTGGAGGCTGAATGTCGATGGAGTGGTAGCTGGGAGGCAACTCTGACCAGTCCCTCCCTTTTCCTCCTTTTCTTCTCATACTGTCCTCTTCATCTGAGCTCCAGGACCCGTTGCGGTGCAGGGGAGGTGAGTAGCTCCTCTGCCTACGAGGAGCTCTGCTTTGTAGCTCATCCATGAGGTCATCGCGACTTCGGGCACGGTGCCTGGACGAACTCCCTCTCTTGTTCCTTGAACTCCTGTGAGATGCTCTTCCCCGCCTGTTGTCCCTATCCGAATCATCAATGTAATCACGCAGGATTCCCCGCCTGGGAGGAGACGCACTTCTGTATCTGTCTCTTGATCCACGACTGTTGCGGTGGAGACCACCTGCTGAGTGGTTTGTACTCCCACTGGACTGGCTGGACATCCTGAGAGCCCCCCTAGCTCCATCTCCACCACCAGGGCCCCTGCGTGAAGAAAAGCTGGGTACACGCTGGATAATAGGAGGCAGGGTGATCACTCTTCTCTCCATCCCTCTCGTCCCCATCTCATCCAGTGCTGACAACACACTCGGAGGCCCTGGTGTGTAGGAAACTTGTGGAGGAGCATGCTGAGCCTGTAATGGAGGCACATTCTGGACAGCATGAGGAGCCATCCCTGGTGCAATGACATCAAGCCCTCTCACTTGATTCTCGAAGTATTCCAACACCTGGTTGTGACCATGAATGCTGCCACGCACACTGCTGTTGCCATAGTGTAAAGGAGGAGGTGGCGGCTGCTGCTGTAGGCCCATGGGTGACAGCTGCATGGGAGCCATGGCAAAGTTGTGCTTGTTTGGGTAGTCTGAGTATGAATCTGAAACCAAACTGACAGCGATTAAGAAGATAAACAACAACTGTTGAACCTACATGAACTCAAGTTATTCTCTGGACATTTGAAGGGAGGAGTATTGTTTAGAGGAGTATTGCCAAATTTGTACACAAACAAGGAATTTGTCGCAGTGTCATGATGCAAAAAACAGTGGTACAGAAATAGAACATATGGTATTTGCAGTATATGTATATATATATTACAAACACACAGAAAAGGAATATATACTAACTACCTAGAGATACAGATATACAGAGTACAACTAGAAAATAAGAAATAAGTAAGCCTACGATTAAGTGCTTTAACTGAATCTGGTGTGCAATGTTGTTATAGGCTGACTAAATAAGGTTGTTATTGTAGCATGTAGTCCAACAGCCTGGGGAAAGAAACTATTCTCATGCCGTGAGATGTCTGTTCTGCAAGGTGCATGAGTGCACAGGGAAGGTAGGGGCGGGCCCAATTACATTAAGAGATTTGATTGAGCAATCCAGTGTCAGTAATGAAAATGAACGAATGGGCTGCTGTCAGTGCTTGTAGGGCCGGTGCATATGTGTTGCATGTAAACGTTTTACAATGAAAGGCATTGTGACCACTGAAATGCTCACATGAGGTGTTGAACCAGTATTAAACACAGACTGTATAAAAAAGACAAAGCCAGTACAGAAGATTCTTAAACCTGTATTCTTTCTATTGGCCAGCAGGGGGCAACTCCTCTGACTGCAAAGAGAAATCAGACTGTATATAATTTTACCGAATAAGTATTCTTGCTTTATTGCCTTAGTAAACATTTTTCTGTTTACGTGCTCAATCACTTGTTTCAACACTTCCTGAATACAACATGAAGTTTATTTTGTGATTTATCATCAGTTTTAAAGTAAAAGAGAAGATGAAGCAGAATATGTTTCAGGTCAGTGCTAAATTATCACGATGCATGTTGTACGAACATGCAGTGCCCTCCGTTTCTGACTAATGTCAAATCCAGATTAAAAAAAATACAAACAGGTGTGAAAAAGCAAGAGTGCACAAACCAATGAGGGAGCTTTGAATCATCTTTTATTTACAGTCTATGGTTTTAACGCTGTTAGAGTAACACAGATACAGACAGGGCAGCAAGAGCAGATTCCAAAAATCGAAGCTTCTTGCAAAAAAAGAGTTCACGTGGTGGAAACAAACCACATTACAACCAGAGGTAAAATAAATAAATAAATAATAATAAGGGCATGACTGCAATACAAGCCTGCTTCAAAGGTTTCTATTGCAGGTCTGCTACCTTCACCAGCTGAAGTGAATAAAAGCTCTGATGCCCATATTCAGAATTCCACATTGTTTGGGGGTTTATTTTACGTCATTGCAAATAAAGGATTAAGGACAAGTCTTATTGTGCTTTCCCTCACTCACCTGAATACAGAATGGGAACGCCCTGGGAGGAAGCATTGGAGCTGATGGGAGCATAGATGGGCTGACCATTCATCCAGGGTAACATTGCTTTCCGAGCTTCTTTCAGCATCTTGTGCTCCATCACAGCTGAAGTCAAAGCACATGGAGCAAGCAGTTCAAAGAGACTGATATAGGTACTTAACCAGCAGATACTGATTTACAGCAGAGGGTAATAATAATACTGCTTGTTTTTAAAGTACACTGGACCATCTCAGTAAATATTCTGTCTTAAAACAAACTGAGGGGAATTTCAGCTTACATTTCTTTACTAATGTATTTCCTCTTTTGTAGCATGCCGTGAGAAGGGCACATAATTACAATGTGTTTGCAGAGTGCATATTTCACATATTTTCGAGAGCACACAGGGCTGCGCACACACACAGGATTATATGAAACACAATGACACATCTGGCAGCTGCGGCGACCTTCAAAAGAACAGTGCTGCATACCATTTACAATTCATGTCCTCGTCAAACATTTAGAAATTTTTCTCTATGGATTTTAAATTTGTTTGATCTATATCTACTCATAATAACTCTCTTTATCTTAGACTACGGGCTTACTTAAAAATAATTAATCAGTTTAAAATTGCAAAATGGTTTATGCAGTAATAATGAGATACGGCGTATGGGTTCTCTCCATGCACTGTGGTTTCCTCCGATGGTACAAATACATGTTTATTAAAAACTTGTGAAACATTAAACTTTTAACTAATGCCTGATTTAGACTTCTGCAGGGAGCCATTGCAGAGATCTACGTAAGTCGCCGACGTCATTGCCCACATTTATACTTTTAAGTGGCTATGTGTTATTTACCATGTAGTCGTATCCCAGTGTTTTATATACAGTGTTGGGGAGTAACGGAATACATGTACCAGCGTTACGTATTTAAAATAAAAAATATGAGTAACTGTATTCCGTTACAGTTTCCGTTTAAATAGGTGGTAATCAGAATACAGTTACTTTGTGGAAATAAATAGAATACACGGCGGTCATTTCTTGTTTCATATGTTAGCCTATGCCCACTCTATGCCTTCTCCAATTTAGGTGATTAAAAACAGTTGGGTGCAGGTTTAGCTCAGTTGGATGAGCATGTAATCATATGTCGTATAGCTGAGAGAGGCCGGCCTGGGTTTTAGTGCAACCTGCGGACTTTTTTTCTCAGTTTCCATTCAGGATTAATACATTTGCTCTGATTCTGATTGCTGGAAATCCAAACAAAACACACAACAACAGGCTCTAATGTAAGCGTCCTGTTAATGTTGGTGGCGTCAGTTACATGGACCCAGAGCCAGCATTTCTTACTTGGACACCACATCATAACAAGAATGGGATGGGTGAAACTTCAGTATCTTCAGTGTACTATTGCTGTGTGATTTTTATCACTATTAATGAAGGCTACTCGCCACCAAGCTAACACTGTTAGCTGGCATTGGCTGAGGTTAGTCCATAGACTGCAGACTGTTAGGCCGTTTCTAAATACTCAAGTACGCAAGTCTGTACTCGCCTTTTCGCTAGTCTGGACTTCGGAAGTTCACACAGGAGTCCGGACTTCCCGAGAACGCAGCGCGATCGTTCTACAATTGGAACGGCAGTGTACTTGATGAGCTATGACGTAGATTTCCAGCTGAAGCCTATTCAGCTGCAGTATTTCTACTTTGCCACATAGTTACATGTTTGAATACTTTTCTGGCAACAGAAGTTTCTTTCTCATGATTTAGTGAAGTGAATCTTCCACATGTAGAGCTACAGCTAAAAATGTACAATCCAAAAAAGCATTTCTTCTACCTTTTTCTGGACAGCAGCATGTCCGAGGGCAACAAGGGCAGCGGACGTAGCAGCAACAATTCTGCGGGCAGCACTGACAGCAGCATATGCAAAAGAGCATGATGAGCAGGAGACCACCGATGATGATTAACAGGACCGTCAGCCAGTCTGGAGCAAGTGACAGTAAAACATAATTACTGACAACATTACTGATATAGCAGTATATTTTACATTTTACTACCTCAAATAACTCGACTTGAAGCGACTGAGGGGACTTACGGAAAACGATGAGCTTGACTTCACGATCCGAGTCCCCTGTTGTGTCACCGGGAGCATCAATGGTGCAAAAATACACACCGTTATCCCACCACATCACCTCAGTGATGACCAGATCAGCAGCTGTTGTCAGAAAACATCACATTAGTCTGAAATGTGAAAGAAATTGAAATACATTTAGACTGTACTGCAGCATTATAGTTATGATGTAATCAAACATACTGTTTCGAATTGTAATTCTGCGGTTCCTGTATTCCGCACCCAGGATGGGCTCATTGATGCCCCGTTTCTGGATGACAGTACGAACAGTGCGCTGGCGGTCCGGGCAGTCATTGGAGGGGTCCTGACCGAGCTGCAGAGCTGCCTGATAGGCTTTAGGAAAAAAAGGAAATTATTTAAATAGGAATATAAGTACATAGTTTCTTTCTAACTCTTTGCACTGTACAATTACAGCTACAATATGCTGCTTAAACCACTGAAAAACAGTCTGACAGGAATTAAAAATATGAAGGAAAATTAAACAGTACACACAAAGATTAAAAACACACAGCTGATGCCTCAAACCTGTGTAAAATAAAAAAAATACAATTTTTATTTTAATTTTTATGAAAATATGCATAATGCAGAGCCTTGCAGGCTGAAATTAGACATGTCTGTAATTCTGTATGTGTTGGTGTGAAAAGGAATGCAAGGATCGGGTGTGTCTATATGCACACCACACTGAAACAGGGCAAACACAATGGAACCACTGCACGCTTGTCATGATCTCTGGTATGGACCCTGGGATTTTCAGCGGTGTCAGGTTGTGGGTTTTTTGTTTTTGTATTCTTTGATATTCATAATGGTTTCCCCTCTATTTGTATTTGTATTTTCTTGGTCTCTTTATGTTTTCTTGTTTTGTGCTTCTTAAGCACATGCTGGAGGTTAACTCCTGTTTTACTTGAAGATTAGTTTTGTTCCTGTCTGTCCTCCCCTGATACCCTGGTTGCTTTCACCTTTTGTTGATTAGTTTTCACATCTCACTTCTCATCTGTGTCCCATCCCCCATCAGTCCTCTGTGTATAAATAATACTGATTACACATTTTCTTTATTGTGCTGTCACTGTATCCCTGGGGTTGTTCCCTGGAAACTTTGGATGTCATTTGTTATCTCGCTGTGGATTTTGTACTTTGAATTTAACCATGAACCTAAAAAGGTTGTTTTTTGTTTTCTTAGGTTTTGCATTTGGGTCCTTTACTAACAACCGTAGTAATACTTAGCCCAAAGTTAAAACTCAGATATGCAATGTTTGGATCCACTGTGCATCTTTCTGTTTGTCAAAATATTTTTGAAAATTACTGTTGACTTATTTGAAATGTTGTCCAGCTGAATTAAATTTTAATTAGTAACTTTTTGAATAACTTGTGTCGTGTTCAGGGTGCTCCCCACCTCTCACCCGGGGCTCAAGGCTCTCACAACCAGGACCCTATACTACAAAGCAAGATCAACATACCTAAGTTATCTTTCTGTTATCTGGAGTCACTTAAACTAACACTGGCAATCTGGATAAGCATTCAGTGAATCTGGTTATCAGCTCGCTAAGTAAACCCATCGTTTCCCCTGCTTGCTGACCTGAAAGTGGCAGCATCTGACTAACCCCACTGATGGGTACCGGGAGCAGAGCGGCTAATGTTGAATGGAAGATGAAAACAAAAATATTAGAAACATATTATTTATCAAAATTATTACATTTTTATATTTTCTAATTAGTTTTTATTTGTATTTCATTTTGATTACTCACTCGCTTTTAATTCATTTCAGTGTCAGTTAACTTGCAGAGCGGGCTTGTCTCAGATTAGTTTTTAATTATTGAAGATGTTTTATATATATATATATATATATATATATATATATATATATATATATGAAAATAAGGAAAACATACTGTTTGATAACATTTTGAAAAATTGACCTTTTTGTGCACAGATAGCTACAACTGATTTACTTTGCTGTTAAGACTGGTTTGTATCAGGATCTAAGTCAATATTGAATACATTTTTGGTAATTTATAAAAGACTTGCATATTTGAATCCTTTGGTCTACAATAATAGAAACACAGGATTCTGAGACCAGAAAAGGGAGTTGATATCCTGAATCCTGTGCGGCAAAGATTGGAGCAACAAAAGGAAAGAAAAAGGGGTCAAAGTTTCAGTTAAATATTAAACAAGGTGATCCACAGGAGTCATTCATCCAGTCGGGCTGAAGACTAGAACTGTAAAAGCAGAAATTACTGCCTCGCTGGTATACGCCTTCACCAGCAAGTCACGTTGCAGTTTTTGTCAACACAAAATTATAAAAGTATTTTAACTGAAGATCGAAGGTGATTCTAATAAAACAAACGCTGTGGCTATTACAAACCTGGAAAGTGCTTCAGGCGTGGATGCTGACAAAATGAAACTACAAACTATGAACACACCAACAAAACACGGAAAGAGTCTAATCTGTTAATATCTGCTCATTTTAAAGTACGTGTATCAACAACGTACCATCCTCTTCTTCCACCTGTAGCCTCACCTGTGGAGTAGTAATCCAGTACGGGGTCTTTACAGAAGGATTTGAACTTCCAGGAGACCAGGACGTCCTGCTGGTTCGCTGAGGTTGAGTAGTCACAGCGCAGAATCACAGAGGCAAACAGCATCGTCCTCCTCTCCGTCTCTGGAACATTCACTGTAACAGACAGCAGCTCTGACACAGGAAGGGAGAACGGTGAGATTGGACTTTAAAAACTTAAACAGCAACAACTGATTTGACACACACACAATTGGAATTGATATTCCATCAGCCAAAAAAAAGACCTTGTGCGATGGCTGCTGAGTGATGGATTGAAAAGAATCTGACCAAACTGGTTAACAGTTTACGCTTGAAATGCTTAACTGTGCGCAGATTGTACTCTATTATTACAAGTAATAACAGCCTTCAGTCACGATCTATAATGGCAAGTTTTGGAAAACAAGCTGATGACAAAAAACATCTGTTGATGGACAAATGTATCAGTTAAAGTTAAAGGTAAAAACTTTCTCCTCAGTTATCCTTGAACGATGCCAGCTTTACTCAGTAGATTTATATCTCAAAATACAAGTCCCCAATCAGTTATTTTCCACAGTTTATTATCTTTGTTATAAACTAAAATGTGTTGATGCACTAAATGTTAGGAACTATGTGAAAAATGTCTTTAAACCATTTCTGCAGTTAATATTGCGAGTCTTCTTTTTAGAGATTGTTTATCCAAAACTTAATATCTTCTCATCACAGAGCCATTTTTAAACTGAAGAAGACACTTGCTAATAATAATAATATGAATATGAATTTATCTCCTCACTATAATAATAATAATAATAATAATAATAATAATAATAATGGATTGCATTTATATAGCGCTTTCGGGAACCTCAAAGCGCTTACAATGCCACTATTCATTCACTCTCACATTCACACACTGGTGGAGGCTACAGTTGTAGCCACAGCTGCCCTGGGGCAGACTGACAGAAGCGAGGCTGCCATATCGCGCCATCGGCCCCTCTGGCCAACACACTATGCAAATAATGAATACTGAATACATGATACTGAATTACAGGTTGTAGATTTTCTGGTTCCCACATATCAGGCTAACGTATAAATGAACAAAACCCGGTAGGAAGATACTTAGGAGCAGAAACTATGTTCATATTTCTACTTATAGTTGAAGTTGCTTCTTTTATTAAGTTTGAGCTGAAAAGTGTTTGTGATCAGTGAGCTCTTAAAAGTATTTGGTACTTTTTTCCTTTAAATCATAACTGCGTTAACAATCTATGGCACAAAATACTACAGTTCCAATAAACAAGGCATTTTCAAATTACTTGTTTTCATTGACCAACAGTTTAAAAACAGTTTCACTAACGGTGGAGTGTTCTCCACAGAATATTAAACAGAATATTTGCAATTATTTCCTGCTCCCCTTTGTGTCATTAAAAAAAAAGATCAAACAAAACATGTTTAGATTAACTGTCATTTTGGACAGTTACAGGAAGTCATGATGGGTATATTAACCAGTCTGTGATACAAGTGGAAAGCATGTTAAAAAGATGATACGTGATAATTAAGTCAGCTGCAGTGCTACTTATCTGACAAAGATTATTTTTTACTGTGTGCTGCTGACATAATGTGATACACTCAGTGTAAAGATTGCACAGTATTACACTGAGCCACACCTGTGATCATGGGAACCTGTTTCATGAACGATATCAAGCTATTTTATACAATTACAATACAATACAATTTTATTTATATAGCACATTTAAAAACCCGAAGGCACACCAAAGTGCTTCACAGTAATATGGAGAGTCAACATAAGTCAAAAACAGGGTACAAATCGGGCACAAGCACAGACAGGATAGAGGCACTAACAGACCAGGAGAGTTAGATAAATACAAAATATGCTACGAAGACAAAAACAGCAGTAAAATTAATAAAAAATAATAAATTTAATAAAATCTAATAAAAGATTTAAAAGTTTAAAAATTAAAAGATTTAAAAGGGTATTAACTGGTCGGGAAAGCCAAGTCAAATAGATATGCTTTCTAATCTTGATTTAAAGGATTGGATAGAGTCCAAGGCTCGAATAGAAGCAGGGAGGCTATTCCAAAGGTTGGGTGCAGCTGAAGCAAAGGCACGATCGCCTCTGGTCTTCAGTCTAAACTTAGGTTGGGCCAGGAGTAATTGACCTGATGATCTTAATGCACGACAAGGAGTGTACAAATTGAGGAGGTCAGTGAGGTAGCTGGGCGCAATGTTATTCAGGATTTTAAAAGTGAGTAGCAAGATTTTAAACTCAATGCGATATTTGATTGGTAACCAGTGTAGATCAACAAGAGCCGGAGTAATAGGGTCAAATTTTCTAGTCCAGTAAGAAGGCGAGCCGCAGCATTCTGAACGAGTTGCAGCCTTCGAAGAGAGAAGGCTTGGAGACCACAGTAGAGAGAATTACAATAATCTAACCTGGAGGTCACAGAAGCATGGATAAGTTTTTCCAGGTCCCTGTGTGGTATATAATTTCAGCCATAAGCACTCTTGCCAAACAGGTAATTTTTAAATTTTATTAATAAAATCCCTTCATAGATCCTGTTGAACACAGTCTATTAGCCCATATGAACATCTTGGCACTACAGAAAAAGGCGAACCAGTGGTTTAAGGTTAGAATAATCGGATTTTAAAAGTTTAAAATGGTCTGTATCTGTTATTTTGACTCATTAATCCAAATAAGTCCTCATTTATAGATGACAGACCGCTGTTAGTAAATTATTATTATTAAACTGTTAGCTGAAAGTTCCTTTCCTTTAAAAATCAATAAAAACTCAAAAAAGAAAGGGGTTAACATAAACGTCGCCTTGGCCCTCTTTTGTTTACAGCAACTTAAACAAACCCCCACGGAAAAGTAGTGGAGCGGTCACGTGACCACAGGTCGGCCTTGTCCTGTTTACACCTGCCAATAATTAACTTTTAAAAATTACTGCTAGTTTCGACTTTTTTGCTTTAGTCGACACACATCTCCATATAGCGACATGTATGAGGAAGAAAGTGCGTTTGCTGGAGAAACCTTTACAGCCTCACCTGTTGGCAGGCGAACCAGCAGAAGCGCCATCAGGATCATATTTCGCATCTTGCTGCGCTGTATCCTCCCGCGGAAGCTCGACTTCTTTTACCGACTGAAAATCCACAAAAATCCGGAATGTTTGTAGGAAACCGCCTCGCACGCGCCGCTGCACATACTAACGAGACTTCAGTTAAGCTACAACGTCAGCCCGCTCGGCTGTGCGGCTCGTTTGCGATGAGAGGCGAGTAGTTACAACGTAACAACCGACAACCTTCCAGTAAAGAGGCGAATCATCCCCCCTCCCCGCTGGCCCGTTCCTCCAAACTGCTCCAGGTGACATCAGTGGCCCCGCCCCCTTTGGCAGGTGCCGCAACAAGGAAAGAGAAAGAAAGAAATAGGACGATACCGAGATAAGCTTAATATACGTTGTATGACACTGGATACTGTTGCTCATGTGAAAAATAAAGCCACATAGCTTAAGCAGATAACTCATAGACACACTCAAAAAAAGAAGTCATTGGATGAACTCAATTGGACTGATGGCAGGTTTTCCACGTAATACATCTATTTTGGTCCAACCTAATCTACATACATCATGACAATTCAATTAAATTGAGTCAGTAGAACACAATTTCGTAAATACTGCTAAAATGAAAAAAAGTACATTAATATGATGTGAAAGGTTTTGGTTGGTCCAACTCAATACAATGTCATTCACTTGAGCTAGATTTTCATTGCATTGAAATCATTATTTTGAGTTCAACTAAATCATAATTTTCATTACCAGAAAACTAATTTAATTATTAAAATAATGACAAAATGAATTTGTTTTTACAACTCAGGTTTATTCACTTGAATTAAAAGCAGAAACAGAATATTTTGTAAATAAACATACATGTCACATGGTCAAATCAACCTTAACAAAAATCAAAGTGCTCACAAAAAAGTGCTGACGTACATTTGTAATGAATGTCAAT